TGGGCATGGCCCTTCCTCGTGGCACGTGGAAGGTTTTCGCAGTTTGTCCTATGAAGACGGTCCATTGTCTGAAACGTCAACGATTAAATATGTTTTTTTTCTTATAAGGCCACAAGCGTTGTTGAGGAACGCGTTGAGTGTTTTTGTTAATTGTGCCGTGTGCACCACTGCCAACGCAGCAGCAACATCACCAAATAATTTGCGAACTTAATGCCAGTTGCTAGCGCTGAGATCCTGGGTTATATTCACAACCACATGTGATTATTAACGTGGCCTTCCGAGCGTGGGTAAGTCGACGGTCTCGGCCCACTCCCTGATGTTCACACGCATAATCCATCGCGATGAATCAGTTATTAACTTAGATCCGGCTAAACTCCATCCCCGGGACGCGTAAAAATCCGTTCGAATAACAAAAAAAACGGGATTTGAACCTCGAGTTTTAGCCGTCGGGTTCCCAACCCAGCGGCGTAAACAGCTGTTGGGCGTGCAGGCTGTGCAACTGCGCCGTGCCGACTGCGGGCCCGGGTGCCGGGCTATGAAGAGGGGGGCGCGGGGGGGGATCGGATAGAGAGCGGGGGTGGTTTGGGGGGGGGTCCCGTTTAATTCCTTCTCCCAGAGCCCATGCCAACCACATCGCCAGGTCACAATCTCGCGTGTAGTGTCAGTCGATGGTCTCAGCTTTGCTCACCGATGTCTGCGCACGCAACAACAACAAATGCCAGTCACGTTCCATTCGACCGTTCACTAAATGCGCTCAAAGTTGCAGTTGTGAGAACTGAATGTGATTACTTTTAATAGATTTGCGGGAAAACACTCTTGATCGCAGATCACATCCAATCAGAATCAGAATAAGTATTTATGCTGGAGGAATCCGATGAGCTATGAAGCTCTTTTTCACAGGTGTCTAGTGGTCTCTTGAAGTCCCGTCAGAAGTGGTTCTGTAACATCTTTTTCCAGGGTAATTATCGGGCAGTAGGTGGTGCACTGCTCACACCGTGAGACTTGCGGACATTCCTTCATCTCATGATGAAGTTAAATCAAGAGCACAAATGCATTACAATTGAAATTAAAATTAAACATATTTACAAACGGGGATGTAAATATCTCAACCCTCACCTTCACACAGTGACGAACCCTCCGATATGCTTCCAGATCGTACCGCGCGTTGTTTCGGATATTGTCCGACGTTTCGCGCCCCACGTGCTGGGCAGCTTCTTCAGGAATTGAAATTCAGTTCCTTAAAGACGCTTCCGGCACGTAGGGGTGCGAAACGTCGGACGTCGTTGCCGAACGGCACGCGGCACGACTCGGCAAATACACATCGGAGAGCCGTACGGACACAACCAACCACGTGAACCAATGTCCCAGTGTGACGAACCCGTCATTAATAAACAATAGAACACTTGCTCCTCATTGTGTTCTTTGTGAGCGCAAGGGACCCATCCGAGTCCGGTGGTGTTGTCTCTGTAAGGCCAGAGAGGACAGCTGCTGCTGCTGCTGCTTCTGAAAAGATAATTGCACTTGCCCTGACCACCAGACAAAGATCCCCCGTATAGCCTTAACAACAGACTGTGCTGTTAGCAAGCACCTATGAAGGCCAGCACGGCAAACGAGGGGATGGGTGGCCAGCACCACGCCCGGCCGCCTTTGTCTCCCCAGTGGCGATGTTTACACACCGCACCAGGTACTCACTTGAGGCTGAGTCGACCTAGGGGAGGCCCAGGGCCGGTTCAAATAATCGTCAATGGAGTTGGCCCCTGAGCAAGACTCGAACCCGGGTCGCCAGGTTCGTAGCGCGGCGCCCTAACCACCACACTACCACTTTCCCCTGTCCCCCCCGCTACCTCTTAGCGGAGGTCTCAGAAGCCAAACTGGCGAGGCTGTGTTGTCAAATAAATAACTATGACCACGACGGGGTCGAGCTAGGGTTGCCACCTGTCCTGGTTTTCCCAGGATTGTACTCCTGTTGAGGAGGGAAGCTGTCCTGGGAAATCTGTAGGTTTTTGCTGGAGGTTGAAAAGTCCTGGTCTTTGTCAGCTGAGTAATAATAACAACAATACAACTCCACTCGAGACAATGCATTCACGTGTAGTTCTCCCCTCTTTCCGGAGATGTGAGGATGTTTTTCTTCACCACGACAAGTCCCTGGTATTTGTGTACCTCAGAGGTGGCAACACCAGGTAGAGCAGTGGTGCAGGGGGTTATCGTGCCACTCAATGAGCCATGTGACCTCAATTTGATTTCCGGCCACGGCTAACTCTAACAACATTCGCCATTAAGTGACGGTGACGTCACCATGACGCCTGTGCCAGGCCAGGTGCACTTTGTGGTCACTGTTTCCAGTGACCACATGTAGCATTAGCATACACATCTGCATAACTATTTCATTCATCGCGATATTTCCACTTTCGCATGTGACACGGTTTGTTTTTGTTCTTCTGTTTATATCACAGCTCTACTTTATTCGATTTCCCTTCGTCATGTTGGCAACTCTTGCGCATCTCGAGTTCTCACCTGATTAACGCAAAATTTCAATCGAAACTTGAATCTAAAATCCAGCTCTTAATAATCCCTCAACTATTCCATCCGAAGAGCAAACAAAAAAGAAAGGGATACACATTTGTAAAGAATTATCCGAATAATTTAGTTTTTATGTAACCCTGCAGCACATCGTTTTCTGTCGCTCTTGCTTGGCACTACTTGCCTGGCAAACGGCCCTGTGATTCAGTTAACTTCACAACGTGGTCAAGGCAAGGCCCTACCTGGCTAACGGCTCTGTGATTCAGTTAACTTCTCAACGTGGCCACGGCAAGGCCCTACCTGGCTAACAGCCCTACCTGGCTAACAGCCCTGTGATTCATTTAAATTCGCAAAGTGGCCACGGCAAGGCCCTACCTGCGTCGCTCTAACGACAGTAATCGCACCCAAGCGAGATTCGGCATAACCTTGGGCGAGAGGCAACTCGTAGATTAATTTCTGCGGGTACATTATCACAGAGAAGCAAAGTTTATCATCCGTTATCCAATGTCACCATCCGAAATAAATAAATAAAAGTGTAAACCATTGCATCTCGCACGTGCCTAGACCGTACGAGTCGATTGTAGCCAGCGAAGCAATTCGTCTGTGCGTGCCCTCACGCCCAGCATCTGTGCTCGTTTCAAATCAGAGCTGTCTATGTCCCAGGCATAAAAGGCAAATGATAGACAGAAGGGGAAACTCCACACACGCACGTGAGCTTCTGGTAGGGGAGGTGGGGGTGGTAGCGGGGGGGGGGGTGAAGCGAGAGAATGAAGCGAATGAAGAGTCTAAGACCGGAAAGCATAAAAAGCGAAAGAGGCCAGATGGGAAATAGGGCCTTCTCTTGGCCCACCATTGCCCACGTTTTAATGTCCCCATTGTTCCCGCGAGTGCGACCATTTGGGAGTCTCTAAGAAGCAACACCCCACGGGTGCCAAGGGTTTGGCCGGGGCAGGTGGAGCCCTTGCAAATGATTGGCACGGGGTGTCTAAACACTATAGCCGCGCGTGCAGCGTTACGCGGCGTGGCCGGCGTGCCACAGCGAGCGCTGGCTCAAGGAGGGTGAATAGCAAAGAGGAATTTTGAGAGTTCCATGTATCACACGTGCGTGCGTATAATAATAAGAAGAATTATAGCAACAATGTAGAGCCCTTTGTCCATCCAGCGCTGGGTGAAGGCCTTGCCAAGCTATTTTTTTTACAATTTTTATTTTACCAAGTAAGAGCCCACTGAGCGATGTAGCTATTTTTCAGAAGTGACCTGGCCACAAATGACAGCTTCAACAAAGTGGATTATCGTGTGGAAATGCACAGCAGCCAAATACTCGAAAGGCACGTTCCTGATCGCGGAGGGAAAAACCGGAGAACAATCCATGCAAACCACGGGGAGAACATGCAGACTTCAAATATACAGGCGTCAGGTTCGGGATCGAACCCATGCCCTCCTGCGTACGAGGCGAGGTAGTTAACATCTCTTAGCCACTTTGGCGCCCTGTGTTGGTCATGGGAATTGTTTGACCGGAGACGGATCGAGAAACTTGCAAAATGGGGGGGGGGGGGGGGGGGGCATTACATTAAAACATACCCATTCCATCAATTTTTTTCTGGTAAATATTAAAACAAATAGCAAGTTTCGTGGTCTCGAGGGTGAGGGGGGTGGGGGAGGCAATCGCCTCCACCACCCTCTTCTTGGATCCACCAAGTGTTTCCCCCATACTTCACCATGCTGGTCAGTGTAGGCTGGTGAACTGGGGGTGCCGTGGTGGACGCGATGTTAACTACCTCGCCTGGTATGCAAGAGGAGGTCGTGGGTACGATCCCGACCTTTGACGCCTGTATATTTGTAGTTTTCATGTTTTCCCCGTGGTAGCATGGGTTTTTTTCCGGGTCCTCCATATTTAGAAACACGCGTTTAGAGTATCTGGTTGCTATAAATGTCAACGCGATAAGAAAACTTCGTTGAGATATCATTTGTGGCCAGGTCGCTTCTGAAAATGAGCTGCTGTATATAGCTCAGTGGGCTTTACCTGGTATAATTTAAAAAATAGTTTATAGTTCAGTTTCAATAGTTTAGAACTCGATCCGATATGACTCACCACTGGTGTTAGCAGTGGCCCGGATCCAAACTCGGGTTGCTGGTGTAAATAAAATAACAATTCCCACGGGAGTCGAACCACAACAATAACCGTTCCCTGCTTATTTATATGCATAGAGCAGGGGTCGGCAACCTACGGCTCCGGAGCCGCATGCGGCTCTTTACGGGCTGCTTCTTGACGATATGTACGTATGTACAGTATGTACTCAGATGTATTGCGGCTCTTGAAATACTGAATTTTGTACCGAATTGGAAAGAAATGGCTCTTCTTGTTATTTTGGTTGCCGACCCCTGGCATAGAGTGTTCGCTAAGAGTACTTGGCCTAGCAGTGCGCGCACCAACACGGGGGACCTTTGCCTTTGCGTGCGTATCGTGAGCGACCGAGCACCTGGCACCGACGACCCCCTCCCGTCGCCGCTGCCCGCCACCGCCGCCGCCGCTCCTCCACTCGCTGCTGCCCGCGGAGCCCGCGGAGCCCACGGGTGCCCTCCGCTCGCCCCCGGACAGCGCCAGCGCCGCTAGTAGGTGGCGGCGCGCCTCCTCGGCCCGTCGCAGCGTCTCGGCCCGCTCGCGCGCCCAGCGGCCGTGGGCCACCGCCGCCTCCTGCTGCAGCCTGCGCATCCGCACCGGCGGACAAACGGCGAACGTCACCGTCATCGCCGCGGAATTCGCGGACCCTGCGGCCGATTTTAGCGTTGGGGGGGCGGGGGGAGGGGGCGTCGTGCGGTTTAGATGCCAGGGCAGTGGGGCCGGTGACGTGGCCCAGCGTCTGTCGCTGGCTTTTAGAGATTCGTGGTTTTGGGATCCATAAGGCCGCACTGGTTCTTACCGCGGGAGTGTTGGCCTTATATTATCTACGTGCTTCCTGCTTGGCAGTGGACGTTAACGAGTAGGCCATCGCAGGAGTAGGCCAGCATCATCGTTCACTTTTGCCAAATAATACATTAAAGTTGGAATTACACGTAGTACTTGATGCCTCCTTGTACCACACACAGGGACAGTTGGCACTGGGGGTACCATGTAAATGCACGTAGGCATTTTATTGTCAAAGGCATTCTCGTAGCCATCATCCTCGCACGTACCCAACTCACTGACCTGGAAAAATATGATTTTAGTGTGAGGGAGTCACGTGTTTAAACAACAGGTCAGGCCAACTGCATCATTGGCAGCATCAAAAGCATCATCACCAGCACCATCAAGGTGGTCGAATGATGGCAGTAGAGCAACGGATTAAATATATCTGTCTGGAGGGTCGAGCATCATCCCTTCACACGTGTTGGTTCCCTCGATCTATGTTGAACTTCTTTCGCACCGTACGCAGCCAACCGTGCTTACCGGTTTCATCCGTTTCATGCCACACACAGCCACTCATGAATGGAACTGTCATAACATCACCAATGCAGGACCCTCCTTAAAAAACGAGTCTTGAGACTCAGCGAGGCTTTTCCTATCTTTAGCTCCCTTCCTTCACTAACCTGCACTGACATGGGTGGTGAAGTATGGTCAATAATCCCGCACCGCCCACGTGACAGGGCGGGAGGCCCTCGTGCAGTACAGCAGTGGATTGACAAAAGGGCTCTGCGATTTGCACGTGTCTCCCTGTGTTCAGGGCAACGTACAGGACATGCGAGTGTGAAGGGCATTTTCAGCAGCAGCAGAAGCAATATTCACGTTTCAGAGCCCCACACAGAGTTGCCCAAATTGACGGTTACGACCTCCAAGACCCATAACAGAATAAAAAAAAAATACTTCAAATAAAAAAAGGCATTGCTTGGGCGACCACCATGCACAGCAGGCGTTATATGATGTTGTTACGTTGTCAGCAGAGGACATTTCCGCACATTCTAATGTCTTAAATTGATCTAAATGTGCAATTTAATGGAGGGACTGTGTTGTGTTGGTGTGGTCTGGGACTGTTTTTGTTGTTGTGTATCCGCCTTGTCCTGGCTTGCATTTAACGTTGACAAATCGGCAGGAATGTATGTACTAAAGTAATTTATCCTTAAATAGTTGTTTTTTTTACGTGATTCCCTTTACCCATATCTGTCAACCCATACGGTTTACCCGTATTCTTGCACAGGGAAATTGAGTTTCCATGTCCATATGGCGTACAGCCGTTTCTATACGGGCAAAAGAAATGTGTCTATTTGTTTGTGTTTCTCCCTTGTAATGGGATGAACGTTGAGATGTATAAGGGGCACGGGGTGACCAATAAGGTCTGAATTGGTCTCCAATAAGGTAGACACTGATAAGGGGTTGCCTTTTCTACATTTTGCACACCTATCGGTTGTACTGTACCGTGCTCCAACATTTATCGTTCCGTCACCTTCGGCAAAGCACACACCGACCAACGCGATGACCTGCCGTCAAGTAACCACCCGCACGACCCGTACGGTGTGGGGAGACCCTCATCTAGCAATGGATTGGCAAAGGGTCAGTTGCACGCGTTCTGTGGGTTTGTCCTCAAAGTGCACCTGGCCTGGCACGGGCGCCGTGGTGACGTCCCCATCACTTCGTGGTGAATGGTGGCGATTGTTGTTGGTGTGTTTGAGAGAGAGAGAGGTGAGTGAGTGGGTTTCGAGAGCCCAGACCTGGCCAGCTGAGCGCAGTGCCTCTCCTGCACGCGGCTCATCGCAACGCGAGCGGCGCGCAGCTCCGACTCCAGGGCCCGGCAGAATCTCGCGGCCTCGGCCACTTGGCGGTCCCTGGAGCCCCGCAAGAGCTCCAGCTCCCTCAGGACCATGCTCCTCTCGGGCCACCTCGCCGTGGCACCCATCGGAGCCTCCTCGCTCGTCCCGTTGCCGGCTGCTGACGGTCGAGCGGGAGTAGGAGGGACAGATGCGTGAGATTAATCGCCGTCAACAACAACAACAGCAGTGGCGGCATCGAACAGCACCTTCATCGTCAACGTCGCCTGTCAAGGTTTTTGCCAAGAGGTGGCAGTGCAGCGGCTGCTTGAACGTATCTGTACAAAGTGTAGAGCGTCGTCCCTTCAAACGCGTTGGTTTCCTCCAAATGTTTTCCCCAGAGTCATCAGTTTCGTCGCGCGCGCTCAGCCGTTCGTTCATGGCACTGCCCCTAACATTGATTTGAAGCTTTCGTGACTGCAGGAATCCATACTCTTTGGTTCTTTCCGTAAAGTCACGTAGGTGGGAAAAAAATATAGATCACGACGTTTCGATCGCAACACAAGCAAGCGTCGTCAGGTGTGAAACAAACAGCAGGAGGACTGCTGCCGTGTTTGTTTCACACCTGATGACGCTCGCTTGTGTTGCAATCGAAACGTCGTGATCTATTATTTTTTCTGCCTACGTGACTTTTACCGAAAGAACCAAAGAGAATGCCCCTAACATCTCAAGGCCGTTTCCTCCCGAATGGTGGCAACGCTTGCACCTCAAAGCAAGAATCGTCTCGGTCTGATTTCCGACTGGAGCGAACTTCTGCGTGGAGTTTGACTGTTCTCCCCGTGTTCTGCGCGACTTCCCTCTGGGTTCTCCCGATTTCCCGTCAATCTCGGTTCAAAGTGGACAAAATGTGAACGATTATCCACGCACACGGATTACTCACCGGCAGTCATAATGCCCATCGCTAAAGCAGGTGCTGAGTCACTTTGTGCCACACAGGGACAGCTGCCAACAGGGGGCCCTTGCGCTCTGAGCCGTTTCGTCGCGTGATAGATGGAGTGCAATACAAGTGCAAGTTAATTAGTCAATCATTCATTCATGGCCAGCCTCGAAGTGCCCGGGTGGAGGCGGGGTGATGATGGAGGGCCAATCTCGCCCTGCTGAAGTGTCAGCCCCCCCTCCCGGCCTCACCCAATCTAACTCTAATAGCCAAGTATAGTAGTAGGTTTTTACCCTTTAAACAGGTAGAAAAACTGACACCTTTATACAAGGCATCATGTTTGCAATGACCACAACACAAGCAGTTAAAATGCAAACAAAAAGAAACAACTCTGATAATGATAATAATAATTGCATTTTAACTGCTTGTGTTGTGGTCATTGCAAACATGATGCCTTGTATAAAGGTGTCAGTTTTTGTACCAGTTTAAAGGGTTAAAACCTACTACTATATTTTGCCACTGGTAAAGGAGGTCTCATAGTCTAATAGGCAAGTCAATAATGCTGCTACGATATTGAGTAGAGAGCAGGCGGCCCCCGCTTGTATGACACAATGCGTTCCTGGAAACCCTGACGTGAATCGGACCCCATCGCGTTTCTATTTCTTCCTTTTAGGAGCCATATTTTTACAGGGTTCAAGAGGTAAAACATCCACACGCAAAGCACAAACCACTTGAGAATAACAAAAGCTCCGCGCCAAGTCTCATCGGGAAAACCAGGCTGACTCTGTTCAAATGTGTTCGAAGTCGTGTCGGAAGATGCGTCGTAAATCTATCCACAAGTGGAATTATAGAAACGTCGCAAAGCGGATACCGCCAGTACAATGAATCGGTTAGCGTTGCGGCTTGTGTTCAAATACATTGGGGGGGTGGGAGCGCGAGCAGAATGCACGATTGACAATAACAGACCGCGTCATTCATTATTCATTCCGTTTAGCGAGCATCATTTGTTTAGAGTTTGTTGAACATTGTGTGGTGCAGCTCCCACCCACCCACCCCGACTTGCACAGCTCACGCGACAGGGTGGGTGGTGGATTTTAATTGGATTGGGGATGTTGGGGGGGGTGGGGGGGCAGGAGTCGTGAGTCGGATAAGCCCATTCGTGGCTTGAATGAGTGCGCTCGAGTATGATGATGGTGCTCGTGATGTCGTTGTGAATATTCCGACAGCGACGATTAAATGATCTTCTTAGGATTACGATGGTGACGCTGCTGCTGCTGCTGCTGCCGCTGCTGCTGACGATGGTAACAGTGGCCGTGATGTTGGTAACGGTGATGATTGTGGTGACCACGGCAACTTTGCTTGACGCTCGACGGTGAAGTCGGTGACCAGGATGCCGATGGACATTGATGACGACCACGTGACGAGGATCACAACAACAACGACGATGATGATGACGATGCCAGTGACGATGACAGCTGGTATGTGCATACCGCGCGTGCGTCAATGTGGCCGCATCTCAAGACGCTGATAGGGAGGCGACTGGCCCGCCTGATAGCGAGTGACCGGAATGAGTCCGCAAGTGAAAAACACGGAAAACAGCGACCATGGTAGTAGCGATAGCAGAGCCACGAGGAGGCGACTGGGTCCCCTTTGAGCCACTGAGTAAAAAACACGGAAAACAGTGACCATGGAGTCTTGATTTGAAGCTTTCGTGACTGCAGGAATCCATACTCTTTGGTTCTTTCAGTGAAGTCACGTAGGTAGAAAAAAACAATAGATCACGACGTTTCGATCGCAACCACAGCAAGTTTTTTTTCTTGCTGTGGTTGTCCCACCTGATGACGATCGCTTGTGTTGCGATCGAAACGTGGTGATCTGTTATTTTTCTACCTCCGTGACTTCACCGAAAGAACCAAAGAGTATAGTAGCCATTGTAGTAGCGATAGCAGAGCGATAAGGAAGCGACTCCGGCGAGCGAGAAACTGAAGTGAATGTGCGAGTGTTGTGATCGCCAAACAACTCACGTCGAATTGCATCAACGGCACCGTGAGCGAGGCGTGAATGCCCGCCAACAGAAGTGTTGACGATGCCGATTTCGGAGCAGTGATCTCGAGGTTATGACGGTGCCACTGCACTGCTTATACAACGAGCAGAGTGACCGTGACGATTGTGTCCAATACCAGCTGCGAAGACCATGACCAGCGATCGGCAACCAACAGAACAAGAAGGGCGATTTTTTTTGTATAGAATTCGGTCAAATAAAAATAAAATCTATATTTTAAGAGCCGCAATGCACATGGCATATACTTAATAAGTGACGTCACAAAGCAGTCCTTAAAGAGCCGCACGCGGTTCCGGAGTCGCAGGTTAATATGTACGCACTTATAACTTCTTTCGCACCGTACGTAGCCAACCGTGCTAATCGGAGGTGCGGGGGATGTACAACAAACTAAACACAAAAGGCGGTTCTAAAAACGCGAGGTTGCCGAGCCCTGGCCATAGAAATGGCGATGACGACGGTGATGATGATGACAATGATGATGATGACGGAGAAGACTGACCACAGAGAGGCAGTGACGTAGTAACTACATTATCAGTGACGTAGTAACTACACTATCAGTGACGTAGTAACTACATTATCAGTGACGTAGTAACTACATTATCAGTGGTGTAGTGACTACATTATCAGTGACGTAGTAACTACACTATCAGTGACGTAGTAACTACATTATCAGTGACGTAGTAACTACATTATCAGTGGTGTAGTGACTACATTATCAGTGACGTAGTAACTACACTATCAGTGACGTAGTAACTACATTATCAGTGACGTAGTAACTACATTATCAGTGGTGTAGTGACTACATTATCAGTGACGTAGTAACTACACTATCAGTGACGTAGTAACTACATTATCAGTGACGTAGTAACTACACTATCAGTGACGTAGTAACTACATTATCAGTGGCGTAGTAACTACATTATCAGTGACGTAGTAATTACATTATCAGTGGCGCAGTAACTACATTATCAGTGGCGCAGTAACTACATTATCAGTGGCGTAGTAACTACATTATCAGTGGCGTAGTAACTACATTATCAGTGACGTAGTAACTACATTATCAGTGGCGTAGTAACTACATTATCAGTGGCGTAGTGACTACATTATCAGTGACGTAGTAACTACATTATCAGTGGTGTAGTAACTATATTATCAGTGGCGTAGTGACTACATTATCAGTGGCGTAGTAACTACATTATCAGTGGTGTAGTAACTACATTATCAGTGGTATAGTAACTACATTATCAGTGGCGTAGTAACTACATTATCAGTGGTGTAGTAACTACATTATCAGTGGTGTAGTAACTACATTATCAGTGGCGCAGTAACTACATTATCAGTGACATAGTAACTACATTATCAGTGGTGTAGTGACTACATTATCAGTGGTGTAGTAACTACATTATCAGTGGCGCAGTAACTACATTATCAGTGGCGTAGTAACTACATCATCAGTGGCGCAGTAACTACATTATCAGTGGCGTTGTAACTACATTATCAGTGGCGCAGTAACTACATTATCAGTGGCGTAGTAACTACATTATCAGTGGCGCAGTGACTACATTATCAGTGGCGCAGTAACTACATTATCAGTGGCGCAGTAACTACATTATCAGTGGCGTAGTAACTACATTATCAGTGGCGCAGTGACTACATTATCAGTGGCGCAGTGACTACATTATCAGTGGCGCAGTGACTACATTATCAGTGGCGCAGTAACTACATTATCAGTGGTGTAGTGACTACATTATCAGTGGCGCAGTGACTACATTATCAGTGGCGCAGTGACTACATTATCAGTGGCGCAGTAACTACATTATCAGTGGCGCAGTAACTACATTATCAATAACGTGGTGAGTGCGGGAGGTGCCCCCTGCCCCCGCGCTCGTTCCGCTCCCTGCAGACGGCGCGCCTCGGTGTCGGAGTCTCACCCAGGGTCTCACCCAGAGTCTCACCCAGGGTCTCACCCAAAGTCTCACCCAGGCTCTCGCCCTCGGCGTGCCGCCGCGCTAGAAAGCAGCCGTCGTGCGCGCCGTGGCTCCGCGCCAGCGCCACGTGCAGCGCCAGGCAGCGCGCGTCCGAGCGCTGGAGGGCGCAGCGCATCCCCTCTGCGATCTCCCGGAGCGCCTCGTTCTCGTCGCGCAGCGCCTCTGCCTCGTCCTCCAACTCCTCCAGCGACACCACGAGCTCGCAGCAGCGGCCTCCGTCACAATTGGACGGCGAGGAGAACGCGGAGGAGGAGAACGCGGAGGAGGAGGCGAAGGAGGAGTTCGTGGCGCGGTGCGGAGCAGGGAAGGTGCGCGCTTTTGCAAATCTCCCGCTGTTCTCGAGGTCGAAGGACACAACCTTGCTGCTGCTGCTGCTGCTACCGTTGATGCGCCTGTTGCTGCTGCTGCTGCTACTCGCGCTGGTGCCCATGCTCAAGGTGGGGGTGCTGCTGCTGGTGATGCCGGCGGTGGTGGTGGTGGTCATCCTGCGTCGCAGCGGTCCGGTTCTGGTCACGCGCGCCTCCACGTGCACGCGCTCTTCTCCTGCGGGCGCAAGAGTGAAGCACCCCCAATCCCGCAGCGTGCCCCCCTTCTCGCTAAAGAAGCCGCAGAGGCGCGCGTGGAACTCCTCGAAGGACACTTCATCGGGCAGCTCCTCCAAGACCCCTCGCGCCTCCTCCTCCTCTTCCTCTTTCGTCTTCTCCTCGGCATCTCCATCCTGCTCCCCCCGCTCCTTCCCTTCGGCATCTCCATCACGCACCTCGTGCTGCTCCTGCTGCTGCTGCTGTTTCTCGGCCTTCATCCCGCGCGCACCACCGACCCCGAGCAGCTCGCATAGTGCCCTGAAGTCCTGCGCCTCCACCGTGCCCCGGCCGCGGTAGTCCAGGTGGTGGAAGGTCTCCTGCAGGTACTGGTCCAGTCCCGTGGAGAGCACGGCCACCTCGTTCTCCACGCCTCGGTCCAAGCCAAAGCGCAGCGCCAGAGCCCCCGCCAGCCACTGAGTCCGGCCCGCCGCGACCTCCCGGCGCGCTGGGTCGCTGGCCACGATGGGCCCAGCGCACGGCAGCGATCTCATCGTCCCGTGGCGGAGGTGGTGGCCCGGCTGGTGGAGGCGCCGCCCGTGTGCGGCGGAGGCTACTAGACGCGCGGTGACTGAGTGTGGCCGTGACGTGGGTCGCGCATCGCTGACTTCGCCGCGCGGGTCTCTGTCTTGCACAGCGGCGGTGCGTACGGGCGGAATTGATAACTCTCCCTCCCGCCAGCATGCCCACCCACCACCACCAACCATCCCTCACCACCCCCACTACCACACCCACCAACCCCCACCACCCCACCTACACCGACCATCCACGCTGCCACCACCACGACCACACCCACCGTCCCCGCCACCCCCATCACACCGGTCATCCCCACCACCGCACCCACCACATCCACGATCCCCCATCCCCACAACCCCCACCACCACACAGACCATCCCAACCACGCACCATCCCCAAGACCACCATCACACCCACCCACGCATCCACCACCGGTCTAACTCACCATTTCCTCTATCATCACTCGCATCGCACGTGGCATCACAAGACCGTGCTTTCGCTCGACCTGTCACTGACTGCATCTCCCTCTCTAAAATAAATGCGCCATCCGTTTCTGCATAGCGTCCTGAGAAGTGGGTGCATGTTGACGATATTTGAATCATAACTGTAACTGCATCGAACAGCAACAGCACCGCCGCCACCACCACCACCGACTCACACCACAACAACCACAACAACCATCGCGACCCCATCGTCACCATGACAAAAATCCTCCGTATAGCCTGAACAGTCTGAGGGGGCAAGTTCTGTTAGCGAGCACCTATGAATGGCACACGAGGGGGGTCAGTGACCAGCACCACTCCCGACCGCCTTTGTCTCCCCAGTGGCGATGTTTACACACCGCACCAGGTACTCATTTGTTGGCCGAGTCGACCTAGGGGAGGCCCAGGACCGTTTCAGATAAAAGTCACCGGTGATGGCCGTGCACGGGAATTGAACTCGGGTGGTTGTAGCACAGCGCGCTAACCACTGCCCCACTGCTCCCCCATCACCGAAGCCTGCAGCCCCCAAGCCCGTATAATGGAGCCTGCATGCTCGAGCCCGCATCCTCCCCCTCCACTCACTAGCAGCTCGAAAAGCCTCCCGCTCTCTGGCCGCAGTGGATTCGTGGCAGACATGCACAGGATGAGCGTGTTTAAGTGCGAGTGTCCGTGTGCGCGTGTGTGTGTGTGTGCATTGTATGTGTGTGTGCGCGTATGCGTGTGTGCGCGTGTGTGCGTGTGGCGAGCGGTGGCGCGGTGGTTAGCGCGCTGCGCTTCGGACCCCTGCTACCCGAGTTCGATTCTCGCTCACGGCCAACGCCAGTGATAGCGATTATCTGAACCGGTCCTGGACCTCCCCTAAGTCGACTCAGCCTCAAATAAGTACCTGGGCTTGTGTGTAAAAACATCCCCATTGGGGAGACTAAGGCGGTCGGCCGTGGTGCTGGCCACCCACCACCTCGTGTACCGTGCCGGCCTCCATAGGTGCTCGCTAACAGCACTTGCCCCAACAGTCTGTTCAGGCTATACGGGATCTTTGTTTTGTGTGGCGAGCGGCGGCTCGCAGTGGTTCGTGCGCTGCGGTACAAACTCGGTCAACCGATTTAGATTCCTGCTGACAGCCAACATCGCTGACAAATATTTGAACCGGTCCTGGTCCTCCGCTATGTCGACTAAGCCTTCAAATGTAGTACCAGGTGCGGTGTGTAAACTATCAGCATTTGGAGAGACAAAGGCGGCCGGGCGTGGTGCTAGTTACTCGTGTGCCGTGCTGTCCGTCCTTAATAGCGCGCTCACTAACAACACTTGCCCCAACAGTCTGTTAAGGCTACACGGGGGACCTTTCTGTTAGTGTGGAGTAGGGCTGAACGATTAATCGATTTCAAATCAAAATCGCAATTTGAAACAATGCGATTAGCAAATCACAATGGCTGTGACTTTTTGCGATTACTTTCTTATTGGTATTGTTTTATTTTTTATTCTAACTTTATTTATTTAACTTAACAATTGTTATATGATTGATTGTTCAATTTCAATTAAAACATTTTTTTAATAAATACATTTTGGAAGCAATTCATATATTTTAAGTTCTCATCCTTGCATTAGAATATATAGAGCGGCTCATATTTTGATGGTATCATGTGGCAATGCCCCATTACATGTTTTAAATGTATCACATAGTGAATATTGAACTGAAGTTTAACTTGAAAAAAATCGAAAATCAAATCGCAATATCTGTCAGAAAAATCGCAATTCGATATTTTCCCCAAATCGTCCAGCCTGAGTGTGGAGGCTCGTGGGGGACGCTGCTTGGCAGTTGGGGGCAGTTCCCTTCCAACAACAACGAGCGGAACGCCGGTCGCCTCTAACGCAGCAAGCTGAACACAGTGGCGAGCACAGGTTGGTGTATCTGTCAGTCGCCTGAGTCAGTCAAGCCACGGCACCTTGGTCTGTCCAGTGACCTGGCAGCAGAGAGCCCTCCACACTTCACGTGGCGGTCAAAAGTGCACCTAGCTTGGCACAAGTGCCGTGGCGACGTCACCGGCACTCAGTGGCGAACGGCGGCTGTTGGAGCGATGTCGCAGTGATTCGAGGAATGCGTTACAAACACGGCTAACATCAGTCGCGAGTGATATCTAAACCCATTGTTGGACATCCCGTGTGTCGAATCAGCTGACAATGAACGGTATCTGCTACGGTGATGCAAACATCAGCAGTTTAGCAACAAAGGCAGGGCCGGGCGTGGCACTGGCCGTGCCGGTCTTAATAGAGGTGTCCGTAAACAGCAACTTGCCCCAAACAGTCTATTAAAGGGCGATACGAGGGAGCTTTGTGTGCCCGTGTGTGTCTCTACCAAGGCTTTAGGTCTTGCAGCTGTTGGCCATTAACAACTTGTGACGTTTGGAAGAGCTCGGATGAATGGAGGGGATGGGGGGGTGGGGGCTGTTTGAACTATCGAGGGGCTCGTTTTCGTGACCTCGACCCCATTGGCCCACGCGAATTGACCCCAGCGAGTCCAAGCTGTGGATATCTGCACAAGCCATGACTATAAACACGCCGTGGCGCTTGCGTGTAACTCGGCGTGCCTGGAATACCTCTGCCGTGTCTCCTGCGAGGCAGTGGAGCAAGTCGGGGTGATGTTACGCTCACGGACACTCCGCCACACATGACGACGCATGTATGACTACTACACATTCCCATTATACGGGCAGCGGTGGCTATGTCCGCCTGTAACCCAGCACTGTGGGCGCCACGGTGGCGAGATGTTAGCTTCCTCGCCTGGTATACAGGAGATCGTTGGTTCGATCCAGACCCTGACGCCTGTTGTATATTTGGAGTTTGCGTGTTCTCCCTGTGGTCGCGTGCATTTTTTTATCAGGATCCTCCGGGTTTTTCCTCCACATTTAGAATCAGCATCACGCGTTTATAGTATTTGGCTGCTATAAATGTCCACGTGATAAGCCGCTTCGTTGAGCTATCATTTATGGCCAGGCTGCTTCTCAAAACAGCTACATAGCTCAGTGGGCCTTACCTGATGAAATAAAATAAAATGTTACATTTATTGCTTAGTTTATAGTTAACTGTGGAGGCGAGGAGTACAGTTCTTTAGAACTTATATTTGTGTTTAATATGTTACCATTCCCCCGCACTTCCAATTAGCACGGTTGGCTACGTACGGTGCAAAAGAAGTTCAACGTAGATGCAGAGTTGGTGGCTTGCCAGGAGAAGGCAGTACAGCGGATGGACTAATCGCCATCTGTGTCTATCCGTATGGGGATTGAGTTGTTGTCCTCTCTCGCGCGTGGGCTGCCCTCGGTTGCTACCGGTTTCCTTCCACTTGTATAAACTCTCTTTTTAATTGACTCAAAGCGCCTTTACAAAACTAGATCAACACTCAATACAGGACTTTCTTGAAAAGGAGTCGTACGACTATTTGACTCTCCTGGCGTACAAACCAAAAACAACCTTTTACTCCTGGACATATGTGACTAAAGATCTTCATAGCTCATCAGATTCATCCCGTATAAATAAAGATTCTGATTCTGTTTCACAAATAGGGTCCTGTCATTATCATTATTCCACCGCTGGATGAAGGCCTCCCTCCCCACGCTACAGCAGTCATGTGGGTTGACTGACCATACTTGATTCACGCTGGCCATTGCTGATTGGTCGAAGGCGGGCTCCCACAGTCCCACGACGGATTCGGATATCATTCACCCACTGACGCTCTTCGTAAGCGGGGAACCGAACTTATTTGAGCCTCAAAACTAAGGAGAGCGGGTGGCATCTCCCGCGGTGCTGCGTTCGCCAAACGTTGGCACCGCACGAATTAAATCCCCGGGCCACGGCTAACATCGGCGGCGAGTGATGTCTGAACCTGCCCTGCCCATGCCACCCCGCCACCAACAATCTGCCGACCGGAATTCTTGTTGGTTTTTTTTTGGTGTCCGCGAAGTGGGGCGTGCTCGCACTGAGCCTAGCGAGGCGGGCGGGCGGGCGGGCGAACGAACGCGAGTAGCCATAGCTACCGTTTGTGGCAACAGCCTTCACCGCCGTGTGTTTTCCACGACCCCTCTTAACGACTGCCGCCACGCAGTGTACGGGGCGAGCGAGAGGGGATGGAGGGACAGGTCGAGGAGCCCCGGGGACGCTACCGGGTGGGATGGAGTGCATCCAGGGGATAACCTCCCCCCCCCCATTTGAACCCCCCCACCCCGCCCGAGTCGGACATGCAACTTGACCGATCACCACCACCACACAACTTGACCCTCGCTGGGGTCAACATGGACGAGGAACCGCAGGTATTGGAAAAGCGCCGCGAGGGGGATGAACCCACACTTTTAAAAAAAGCGTTTCGTTTGCCCTTGACGGTTACGTGCTGGTGTGTGTGTTTCTTTTACGAGCTGTTCAAGTCCACTACTGGAGTTATTGCTGTTTAGTGAAGACGGGTGTTAACTCTAATTACCGGAGTGTATTGAGTGAACACCCCCTAGTATGTACGTGTGTGTTGGGTGATGGATTTTTTACACGTAGGCTTTCGCGATCAATATCATCCATTATCCATAATTTTAAGAATGAAACAGGAGGATGTCTCTATAACTCAGGCTGTCGCCCGATGATGCTAGTTGTAATTACTGTTGAAACGTCGTACTCGAATTATAAATGTTGTGTGCTTACTCTCCAACACACCGGTGTGCTGTACTAGTAACGAATTGGCATGTTCTGTTTACGTGACAACCCTTACTAATTGGCTGTGTCGGGTGGTGGCGAGTTGAACAACACATTTATATTTACGCGACCTAACCCCAAAACCCTCTATTATAGGTGATGGATTTTCTCGGGGTTCTCTGCAGGAAGTTTTTTTGTTTCTTCCGACCAAACTCTCATAACTGATATTGGTCAAATATCCGTATGTAGCAGGACCCTCCTGAAATAAAGAAGAGTCCTGAGACTCAGTGTGACTTTACTGGATACATCAAGTACAGCACTATAGAACAATGTTCAGCCCGTTATGAATCGACTGCTGAATGAATGCCTCCCCACAAACATTGAATTCCGCTACGTTTTGATGACGAGGGATTGACATTCCTGGGGAATGACAACCATGGTTAGTATCTAAGTGGTGATGGTTACGACGTTGCTGCTGATATTTAAATCAAAATAACGTTTCATATTCGTACCAATATAATGATGACGATGATGGCAATGATCGATATGTAATGCTAATACCGTTGCTGCCGACGATGACTCTCCATTAGTTTGCTTATAGTCGTAATAAAATCGATAAAAACGCGTGCATCGCTCTTGCGCGCACACAGGACGGTGGCAACACCACGGCCTCTGCCGAGGTCGGCGGAGAGGGACCAGGGAGCCCCATGGAGCGAGAGGGGCCCGGCGATGTGGAGGGGGGCACCCCGACACAGGGGCCGAGTCCAAGCCATGAACTCACGGTCACCGTCACCATTGCCCTCGCTCTGCCCAACGGTGTGAAACGCGACCACGCACCCATGAAGTTCATGGGCCATACGCACAGGCACACATGTACCCAGACACCCATGTACCAGGCACCCATGTACCCAGGCACCCAAGCACACAGGCACCCACGCACACAGGCACCCACACACACAGGCACCCACACACACAGGCACCCACACGCACAGGCACCCATGTACTCAGGCACCCATGTACCCAGGCACCCAAGCACACAGGCACCCACGCACACAGGCACCCACACGCACAGGCACCCATGTACTCAGGCACCCATGTACCCAGGCACCCAAGCACATAGACACCCACGCACACAGGCACCCACACACCCAGGCACCCACACACACAGGCACCCACACACACAGGCACCCACACGCACAGGCACCCACACACACAGGCACCCACACGCACAGGCACCCACACGCACAGGCACCCACACACACAGGCACCCACACACACAGGCACCCACACACACAGGCACCCACACACACAGGCACCCACACGCACAGGCACCCACACACACAGGCACACACAGGCACCCACACATACTCAAACACCCACGCACTCAAAGCACTCCAGAACCCAAGTCCCACTCGCACACCTAACCCGTGCATTCGTGCCCCCTTCCAGCACGCACACACGCACACACATTGTACGCGGAACACGCAGACAAACAATATATACCCCACACACACACATACACACCTAGTTACACGCGCACTTACACACCAAATACACGCACCCAGCACAGAGTACACACTCACACATCCAGCACTCACTCAACTATGACACAGAGACAAAGGCCCCTCCGTATAGCCTTAACAGACTGTTGGGGCAAGTGCTGTTAGTGAGCACCTGTGAAGGCCGGCACGGCACACGAGGGGAAAGGTGACCAGCACCGCCTTTGTCTCCCCAGTGGCGATACTTTCACACCGTACCAGGTGTGCAAATATCACCGATACACACCGATCTGTCGCAAGCGTAACACTTAGCAGCAGCCAAATACAGGCATAATTGCCCGACATCAGCTTTATTCAGACGCCTTGACTGATTGCGTGCTGCGGTAATTGGCTCACACGGGCTCTGAGCAATAATTAAGCTCGTTTATGAATCGCGCCCTGATTTATCACGACTTGTCTCTGGCTGCATCAATGCAGCGATCAGCATACGGACATTCATGCCATTTACGTGTTCATTAATAGCCACCCGAGAAACAATGAGGGTGTCAAGCAAGGTGAACTATGGGGATATATAAATGTGGCGTTAAACCCCACCACCACCTGACACAGCCAACTAGTAAGGGCTGTCACGTAAACAGAACGTGGCCAGTTCGTCACCAGTACAGCACACCGGTGTGTTGGAGAGCCAAGCCACAACATTTACATTCTACGTGTTAAACGAACTATAGGGAGTTGGGAATTTAGAGCTGTTTTTATTTTCTTCCAAAAACGTGGAAGGAACCCCATGGGATGCATCATTCATTACGCTAATTAGTCATTGGGGTAGAGCCACGCCGAGTGTGCAGCTGATGTTGTATAGGATTCAATTAAAACGTTGGTTTTCGTAACCAATGCATTTGATCCATGTTAGGTTTTTGGGTTGGGCCGCGTGGTAGGTTTTTTTTGTAAATCGCTCTCCATCACCTGACACGGTCGTCACGTTTACAGAGATTAACACATTCCTGCGGAGGGAGCTGGTAGGAACGTTGGGTTGCTCGGTCAATGGCCAGGGTCAACGGCGGCGTGGTGTATTCCGCAAATATGACCGACTGTGAGGGCGGGCACAAGCCGGCGTGAGTAGGTTAAACGTTTAAGGGCACCACGGGGTGACCAGCCCCACTCCACCCAGCCCCACCACTCCCACCCCATACCCAGCCCCAACCTCCCCACCCAGCCCCACCCTCCCCTCCCCACCAAGCCCCTCACCCCCCTCCCAACCCAGCCCCTCCCCACCCTCCCCTCTCCACCCAGCCCCACCCCTCCCATGTTTGGATGCACGACGGATGGACGGATAGAATAATCCCCTGTGGGCTGGTGTAACCAGGAGGTTCCTACCAGTATTATTATTATTCACACTGCCAACGCCTCGATGTAATTCCGACCCGGAAAACCTCCTACTCGGCACCGGTAGCTGGGGCTTTTCATGACTCTTGTTGATGTTGAATTCCAGCCACGTATAAGCAACACGTCTGTCGGGTGGTGGAGAGTTAACGACAATAATTTTACCGCAAAACTACGGCGTGGCCGAACCAAAACACACATTGTGGATCGACATGTAAGGAGTATAATTTATGAACATCGCAGGATCGTGAAAGAACACGGCGGCTTTGGCGACACCTATCAACCAGCAGTGGATAAACCTTGGCTGATGATGATGTTAGTGCATTGCATTCATCGATTGAAAAGGATCCGTAACTCAAGAGATACATTCCATCGTTCCATGTAGATGTGTGTGTGAGCGAACCCAGCGACCTGAGATCGATTCCCGCTCACGGCCACCAACACCGGTAACGATTATCTGAACCGGTCCTGGGCCTCCCCTAGGTCGACTCAGCCTCAAATTAGTACCTGGTGCGACGTGTAAACATCACGACTAGGGAGACAAAGGCAGCTGAGCGTGGTGCTGGCCACCCACCGCTTCGTGTGCCGTGCCAGCCTTCATAGTTGCTCGCTAACAGCACTTGCCCCAACAGTCTGTTAAGGCTACATGGGGGATCTTTGCCTGTGTTGTACACTATTGTAGTCACTAGAGACGCAACCACAAATCGTTTTCTTTGTTTAATTGCCATTCCTCGTGAAAATCGCCGGCGACTTTCCCCGGCTGTGTGGGTTGGTCATTAGATCCACTGCTGGAATCAAATCATTGAGTTGGGGCTGAGATTGGCGGCTGTGGTCGAGGATGTGTTGCTGTTGCTACTGCTGGTGCTGTGGTCATTAAAGCTGCAGTTTGGTGCTGTTCCTCACCCTGTTGCTGCTGCTGCTGAAACAGTTCAAGCTGTAGCGGAGGGTTTTGCTCGCGCAGCTGAAGTCGTCGTTGATGCTGGAACTGCTGCCGTGTTGTGAGCCGTTTCTGTTGTTGAAGCTGGTGGCTGTCACCTTGGTGCGTAAGCTGTGGGCTGTCCAAACCGGCGCATTCGCTCGATCTGAGGCTAAGTGCTGCCGTTGTTGTTTCCGTTACCTGTAGCTGATGCTGCTGTTGCTCGTGCTGTTGAAGGTATTGCTGGTGCCATCGCTGTTATAGGCAATTAGTGCTATTTGCTGGTGCTGTTGTTTAAGGAATTCACTGGTGCTGGAGCTGTTGCTGGAACGGTCCGCGGATGCCTCCCGTGTGGGGAGCGGTAGGGCAGCCGTGCTACGAACCTGGCCACCCGAGTTCGATTCCCGCTCACACCAGTGATGATTATCTGAACCGATCCTGGGCCTCCCCTAGGTCGACTCGGCCACAAATGAATGCCTGGTGCGGTGTGTAAAAACATCGTCACTGGGGAGACAAAGGCGGTCGAGCGTGGTGCTGGCCACCCACCCCCTCGTGTGCTGTGCCGGCCTTCATCGGTGTTCGCTAACAGCACTTGCCCCATCAGTCTATCCAGGCCATACGGGGGATCTTTGTCTTTGTTTAGAGGCTACGCTGTTATTGTGGCTATTGTTACTGGGGCTGTAGCTGGGTCACTCGCAGGAGCCTCTTGGACAACATGGACGGACACCTCTCCACAGGGGCGGAGACGCGGCACAGCGGGCAACGCGTTCGCCAGTTCGAATCCAGCGGCCGCCCTGATTAATACCGCGGGTGTGTTAACCTGTAATTCTACGCGCACGTCTGCTCACGGTGGACGTTACAGATCCCGTGGCGTCATTCGCAAGCGTGGGTCATTATGTAAATTTTTTATTTTTCTCCGCTTGGCTTTTTCTCCAGGTCCTCCGGGTTTGTTCTCTTTGCATTTGGAAAAATGTGCGTCGAGCATTTGGCTGCAATGCATTTTCACGCAGTAATCCACTTCGTTGAGCCACCATTTGTGGCCAGGTCCATTCTGAAAAAGAGCTATATAGCTCAGTGGGCCTTACCTGGTAAAATAAAAAAAAGTTTCATTCAGTTTAATTTTGCCAAGTAAAATAAATTGCACCACTAACGTCTCAATTGGAATCTACTCTGTGATCATTGCCCCCGACTGCGATAGCTTTGCAGCACCCTCCTGAAAAAGAGTCCTGAGACTCGACGAGGCTTTCCTGGGTAAAACAAGTCAACTGTAAATAAAATACGCACACGACCCTCCGCCACTGTCACCTCAGCGGAGGGCGCTCAGGGCGAGGCCGCGTCCCTCCGGCCTGGAGCCGCCGGGCGCCGGGGTCGCCCGCGAGGAGATGGAGCCGCGGGAGTCGGAGCGAGCGAAGCTGCGGGAGCCACCGCCTGCTTCCACTGCGAGCTCCTCCTGATACCTGGCCGGGTGGAGAAGGCCGACGTGGTGTTCTACGGCTCCGTGGCCAGGGTCTACATCGGTAGCGACACCAAGGTGCCATGATGATGGGAGACATCTCGGTCGGATTGTCGTCGCGGGGTTGTACGTATGTTGAACTTCTTTCACGCCGTACGTAGCCAGCCGTGTTAATCGGAGGTGCGGGAAAGGACAACAAACTAAATACAGGTAGTCTCCGAGTTACGGTGGTCCGACTTACGATATTTGGATCTTACGATGGCGATAGCGAAACGACAGAATTGCCATCAACAAGCTAACATCGTTCAAGTATGCAGACGACGGACAGAATCTTGGTGAGTACAGTACAATGGTACGTTACGATACGTCCAATGCATGTATGATACGTAGCTTTAGCGATTTCATTTTAAGGTTACCACGATACGATACGTTCAATGCATGTTAAAAGTGTTATAGCAGGTAGGATTGTTTCCTGGAAATCTTTCTATTAAATTGCAGTTCATATAGGTAGGCTAAGAATTTACCTTGTTTTTTTTACTTTACATTTTACTGTGCAATACAGTATTGTAATTAATAAATACATACAGTATATAGTTTATACAGTACGGTACTGTACATTGCTCTGTTTTGCTAAATTATCACCATTCTTTAAGACCCCTGGGTAGGCTAGGCCATCTTCGACTTACGATATTTTCGACTTACGATGGGGTCGTCGTAACGCATCTCCATCGTAAGTAGAGGACTACCTGTACAAAAAGTGGTTCCAAAGAAATTAGTTTTCAATCTAGAGATCCTTCCACAACCTATGCACGGGCTGGCCTCATCACTGATTGGAGCGCCGTGGTGGCGAGATGTTAACTACCACGCCTGATATTCAGGAGATCGTGGGTTCGATCTCAACCCTGACGCCTCTATATTTGAAGTTTGCATGATCTCTCTGCCCGTGGTGACGTGGATTTTTCTCCGGGTCCTCCAATTTTTCCCTCCACAGTTAGAATCAACATCATGCGTTTAGAGTATTTGGCTGCTATAAATTTCCACGTGATAAGAACTACATAGCTCAGTGAGCCTTACACATTGTAAAATAAAGTTTTTTTTAGTTGAGATTCTCTTCATCGCGGATGTTTTTTTTTATTTTTTCCGGCAGTGTTTCCCCTCCTTTGCCTGCCATTCCGTCGTCATTGTCGACCCTGGGCCCGTGCCGAGTCTTTCGCCACCAGCCTGACTCCTCCTAACTCCCTCGCCCAACCCCCGCCCCCCCCCCAACCCACAGGTGATACGCGCGTGGTCCGAGGGGCCGCGCTCGTGGGTGGCGTGGAAGCAGGAGGCCCGCGTTTCCCCGTCCGGGAAGCAGCTGCTGGCCCTCATGTCGTCCCGCCTCTCGGCCGGCCGCCTGCGCGTGTGGGAGGGCCGCGAGCGCCTCTCGCAGAGGGCCCGGCACGACCGGCCCACGGGACTGCGCCTGCGCTCCGAGACGGATCCCGGGCGCTTGGGTATGAAATTCAGAGTGTTTGTTTATTCTAGATTTGAAGCTTTGGTGACTGCAATGATTCATATTCTTAGGTTTTTTCGGTAAAGTCACCTACGTGACTTTACCGAAAAAACCTAAGAATAGTATTTGTTTAGACTGGAAGAAATCAATTTTATCTTTACATATTCGCATAAGCGCATCAATTCCTGCCGATGTTTCAACACTAAATGCAATGTTGGGCAAGGCAGCACAACAAAAACTAAAATAACTACAACCCAGTTTTTATTTTATTTGACCAGTCAAGGCCCACTGAGCTACGTAGCTCTTTTTCAGACGCGACCTGGCCACAAATAATAGTTCAACGAAGTGACTTGTCACGTGGGAATTTATAGCAGGCAAATACTCTAAACGAATGCTTCTAAATGTGGAGCTAAAAACCAGAGGACCCGGAGAAAAATCCACGTGACCACGGGGATAACATGCAAACTCGAAATATGCAGGTATCAGGGTCGGGATCTAACCCATAACCTCCTGCATACCGGGCAAGGTAGATAACATCTCGCCACCGTGGCGCCCAAAAATAGTTTCAGACCACACCAACACAACACACAGTCCCTCAAAAAAAATGTCACTCTCGATACATGGGTAAGGATCAAAGTTATGAATGCCATAAGCAAATTTGACTGTAGCCAGCACTACATTTTTGCTTCAGGAAATGTTTGGAAGGAAGATTGATGATGTTAAGGGAGGAGATAATGTTTTAACGACTTAAGGCACGAGCTGCGATGGGCATGGGAGGGGAGGAAGACCCCTGGCCCCAGTCTCGGCAAGGTGGTACATTTCACTTCCTACTTATAACTTAGAAAAAAAAACATGAACACCTCACGCGCCGTTCTTTTTTGACTTGGGCCAATTAAAGTCGCCATGTGGAAGTTTTGTCGGGGCGATGGATTCAAATGTGACACCAGATCTTTTAAAATCTAAAAACCCAAAAAAAAATCGATGTTGGGTACTCCAATATCCCGAGGGCAAATAGTTTGACCCTCATCTTCAGGAGAACCTCGGCCTATGAGAGTTCATATTTGTACATTTTGAAGGATGCCGATTTCGGAATATGACATATTTAAACATTTTCCAGGTGGCGACACCACTCGGTGAAGACATTCGGCCACAGTTGATTTCACCTACGTCAAAGCTTCATAATCAACGTTTCGGGGTTTAGATCGCGTTATTTATGAATTTGTTGTAACCCTCCACCACCCGACACGGCCAATCAGAAAAAAGTGTCACGTTGACAAAAGACAATTATAAATAACGCGATCGAAAACCCAAAAACGTTGATTATGAATAATATTGGTCGCGAAAGCCTACGTGTTATACGTCAAAGCTCTCACGTTCCTCCTAATCATCATCATCATCATCAACTGAAAAGTCCCTGTTCTGGTCAAAAAGTTCCCCGACGCTCTCTGTGTGATGAAACAGACTGAGGTGTTGTGAGTGAATGACCGACCGACCGACAGGCCGACGCACAACCGATGTCGGTCGGGACCCTTGGTGAATCCGGCGCCGTGTCCCCAGACCGCGTGCAGAAGCTGGTGCGGAGGATGTTGGCGCAACTCGAGCCGGCGCGGGCACGCGGGGCCGGGAAGGAGGAGGAGGAGAGGGAGGAGGAGGTGGGGGAGGAGGAGGAGGAGGGCAAGGCAGGGCGAGGGCAGCACGAGAAGGGCACGGCCGGTGAGTGCCACCGCATTCACGACGACGGCTCGTGACCACATGACACTGGGCGACGACAACAATGACGACGATGACGATGGGTTAAAAATGAACATGCGATGATGATGAATTCAATGAAGATGTGATTACGATTACTTTAAATCGGAATCTGTTATTTATTAGCATCACTGATCGCCCGTCGCTGCTGCCGCACAGTTCCGCCGCCCGTACGTGGAGAGGAGCGTGGCCGTGCGGGGAGCGCGTGGGGCGCCACGGGGAGCCGACAGCCCCGACGCGGGGACGCACGGGCCGCCGAGCGAGGGACCCCGCGCCGGGGAGTCTGGGGCGCCCACGCCGCCGAGAGGGGGGCCCCGCGCCGGCCCCTCGGGCTGACCGTGCCCCTGGCGCGGCTCGTAGCCGGTAGGGGCCGCGCTGCGTCGCGGTCCTCGCGGTTGGGGTGTGCGTTGGGGTTTGCGGTCGGTAGTGGCAGCTGTTTGGCTCGTAGTGGTCGTCGTAGTAGTTGGGTTGTTACAATTCTTTGGGGAGGTTATCAGGGTTTGGTTTAGGGTTGCGGTTTAGGGTTAAGGTTGTGGGGTTAGGTGTGTGGGTTAGGATCAGGGTTTGGGTTGCGGTTTATGGTTAGGGTTGGGGGGCGTTAGGATCAGGGTTAGGGTTTAGGTTAAGGGTCCCCACTACTGTGTAGCAGTTGTCCACTCCTTCGTTGCATTAAATGTTGGTTAACTTCAAGGTATGCCGGTTGATAATGATCCACCCTCCTGAAAAAGAGCCCCGTAGCTTTCCTGGACAAGTAAATGATGATGATTCTGTATTAAACTCCCATGCCTTGCCGACTGCCCACCCGCCCCTCCCCGCCCCTGCAGGTGAGCGCAGGGCGTGCGGGCGCGCGTCCCACCCGTGTGCCGGCCTGCTCGACGCCCTGTGCTGCGTCTCGTGCCGCGAGCCCATCCTGAGCCAGCAGCAGAGTCTCCAACTCAACCCCATGATCGTCCGCATCGTGTCTGCCAGCGGCTTGCCCGCCGCGCCCGTGCCTTACTCTGTGCTCAAGGTCACCCAGCAGCACGTGCAGCACTCGACTGACATTATCATCATCGTCTGTTAATTTAAATGATCGTGATCTCGTACAAGCGAATTGTCAAGCACTCAAGGCGTTTGACATAGCTTTAGAAAACGGTGCCAGAGTGGAATTATTTAGATGGCAGGGGCCTAACGAGGATTGAGGAATGCGTGACAGTGATATAGAGGTACTTAGGGATCAGGAAAGGGTGACGGGAAGGAGTGGAGGGGAGATGAAGAGAATGGGCGATGGAGAAGAGGTGGAGCTTTGAGAGAGGAATGGAAGGAGGTTAAGGAGGAGGACTGCTTGATGTACAGGAGAAGTTTTTTTCCAAGAGATAATGATGATCATCATGATCAGTTTTTTATTGAAACTCAACGCTAGCCCGGTACAAGATGCTGATCGCAAACGGAGGAGAACAGAAACTCCGCAAACAGCAAGCCGATGTCGGCGCGGCGGGACCTTACGTAGGGGGAAGTTGGACACTCGCTGTCCCACCCAAGTGGGGACCACGTGCAGGGGCGGGAAGATTTATATAGGGAGGGGAAATGGTGTAAGGGGAAAGGTAAGTAAACTAAACTATTGTTCATTTTACCAGCTAAGACCCACTGAGCTGTGTAGCTCTTTTTCAGAAGCGACATGGCCACAAATGAAAGCTCAACAAAGTGGCTTATCACGTGGACATTTATAGCAGCCAAATACTGTAAACGCGTGTTTCTCAATGTCGAGGGAAAAACCGGAGGGCCCGGAGAAAAATCCACGTGAACGCAGCGAGAACATGCAAACTCCAAATATACAGCAGGTGTCAAGGGTCGGGATCGAACCGATAACCTCCTGCATAGCAGGCGAGGGAGATAGCATCTCGCCACCGCGGCGCAACTAACATACTGGGGAAAGAGAAAGGGTTGGGAGAGGGGAGATCATCATCTCTTTTAATCATCAAGGTCTCTCAATTAAAATCACCCCCCCCCCCCGCCAACCCCCTCCCCCTGCGCGCTTGTCCGCGTGCTGCAGGAGCGCTGCCTGCCCGCGTACTGCTCCTACCGCTTCGCACCGCTGGCCCCGCACCGGAGCGAGGGCCGCGCCCAGGGCCCCCGATTGCGCTTCGACGACGTCAACGCCGTGCCCCTGGGCCTCCTGGGCCGCGCTCGCGTGGCCCAGCTGCTGCGGGGCCCTCCCCTCCGGGTGGAGCTCCACGACCGCGACCTCCGCCGCGACCGCTCCGACGACCGCCGCGGAGACCCGCCGGGTCGCGCCGACGACGGCGAGACGACGGAGGGGGAGGAGGATGGGGAGGAGAACGAGCAGGAGGGGGACGAGAAGGAGGAGAGAGACTCCTACGGTGTCGCCTTCGTAGACCTGTCGGACCTCCTGCTGGGCGACCGCCTCGTCGAGTTGAGCGTGCCGATCGTGGCTCGGCGCGTCCGCCGGGCTCCGGCCGACGGGGAGGACGAGGAGCACGTCGCTGTTGGCGGAGTGGAGCGCGTGGCCGCCGGGGGGTACGCGGAGTCGGGCGCGAGCCTCAAGGTGCGGGTCGAGGTTCGGCACGCCCTGGACGAGTGGCTCGGAGAGGACGGCGGCGACGTCGAGGCGAATGGGGGTCCCTTCGGCCGGGTCGTGTTTCGCTTCTCGTGCCGCGACGACGACGACAGTGACGGCAGCGACGGAGTCGTCGCCCTGCGACTGCGCGAGCTCGAGGAGGAGATTCTGATTAGGAACGCCGAGGCGCTGCAGCTCGACGAGCATCCCATGCACGTGATCGAGAGGGCGCTGTCGGCCTACTCGTGAGTCCCGCCGCCGACCGTACCTTGATCTGTTCGTGGAGTTTGTGTTTCGACGTCTCTCACTGATTATTGGTCGTCGTGTGCATTGGATTCCTTTCTTCTTCTTCTTTCTTCACTGCTAAAGTATCAGCACCCTTTCTCCCGACGCGTTTTATCCAGGCTTGGGACTGGCTCAGATATCCACTGGATTGTGTACCCCCCAGAGTAAAAAAAGAAGTGTGCTGATGTTCGGAAAAATGGTAGGAACTGGAAAGAGAGGAAGACCTAACAGAGAATGGCTTGAAAACAACAGAAGAGATTGGTGCCAAAAAGATGTGGCACTACTTGAGCATATTGGCACAAGGCAGAGGAAAGTGGAAACAACAATTACGAAATGTGCAATGGACATCTTCGGGCTATCTGCCCATGCACCGTGATGATGATGCGTTAAATGCGCACAATGCAATTGTTTTAGCTCGCCAATAATGCTCTCGGAAAAGTGTTTAATTAGATAACGCGACGTTTTGTTTAAAACATGGGCGAGACACCAGGAATTCAAAATTTGGATGCGGTGCAAAATTAACCGCCCCCCCCCCCGCTCCACACCTCCTCGCCACAGGCTCTCGGAGGAGCAGCAGAGGGATCCGAGTCTGGATCTGCTCACGGGGTTCCACGTGTACGACGGGGAGCACCACCTGCTCGCCCTGGAGGGGCCCAGGGACGGGGCCGTGCGGCGTCTCTGTGAGGAGTTCGCTCCGAGGTTTGTGCGTCGCCATTCTCGTCCACCCCTAGGGGAGTCGCTTTTATATCCCCTGGCCGGGGCTGGGTTCCTCTCTGTCCCCCGTATCCAGCGTGAGAGCCCCTCTCTGCCCGCCGAGCAGGGCTGCACTCCTAATGATGTTTTATAAAATAAAAACAAGACAGGAAGCCCCGGAAATGCTTTGCATTTCAAGATGACGGCACCATTTCTGCGTTCGTTCCGCCCGTGATAGCCACCAGCTCAAGGCAGCTGAATGCACCGACTTACGATCGCTTTCCAACGAAGGTTGAGGATTTTAACTTGGAACGCTGCGCCGACACGCAGTCTACGTCCCTCGCTCTGGAAGAGAGAAAGAACGACTCGGAGGCACCAGGAGGATGAATCGCAGGCGAGCCGGGAACGGCAGAAGCCTAATAGTGAACCGGTGCCAAATTCTCCCCCCCCCACTCCCCACCCTCTGCGGTTACGGTTAATGTGTTGCCGGTAACGGTTGCTGACAAAGATTGGTTGCTGACACGGATTGTCAGCAACGTGGAGCCAGTTACCTCCGGCAGATGTTTGCAATCCATCCTTGAATCTGAGCCAGTTGTTCCGCAGAGCTTAGCCTGCGTGATCAGCGCAGTGGCGCATTCGTGACCACGCCGGACTCGAGTGTTCAGACGAACTCACGATCGTCCTGAAATCGCTCTCTCGTGGCTCGTGGGCCCCCGACCGTTGCGCGTGACCGACAGCTCGAGTCCGGGCCGCGTGGCGGTGCTGTTCGACTCGAGCGTGGGGTTCGCCGTGCGGGCCTTCGCCGCGCTGGGCGCCCGCGTGCGCGCCCTGCGTCTGCGGGCGCCCCTGAGCCGGACGCTGCGCGACCCCGGACTGGCACTGCTCCCGCTCGCCGGAACACGCGGCGCCGCCCTCGCCATGCGCGCCATGCAGAGGTGGGACGCGCGTGCGTAGGGCGTGGGGTTAGGGCGGCGAGATGTTAACTGCCTCGCCTGGTATGCAGGAGGTCGTGGGTTCGATCCCGACCCTGACGACGCCTGTATTTTACGAGCTTGCCTGTCTCTCCCTTTGCGGGTCCTCCGTTTTTTCCCTTCACATTTAGAATCAGCACGCGTTTAGAGTATTTGGCTGCTATAAATGTCCACGTGATAAGCCATTTCGTTGGGCTTTCATTTGGACAGTTCGCTTCTGAAAAATAGCTTTATAGCTCAGTGGGCCTTACCTTGTCATATAAAAATAGTTTTTAATAGTTTCATAGGGTGACCGTGGTGGCAATGATCATGATTGTGGCGGTTGTGGTGATGGTGGTGTTGACTGATGATGGTTTTGCTGTTGTTGCTATTGCTGCTGCCCACGATTCTGCTCCAGTTGATTCTGCTAATTAGTATGGCTATGATTTGTAAAATGCCACTGCTGTTGCTACTGCTGCTGATAATGCTGACGACGACGGCGATGATGATGATAGAGATGTCAAAATCCTCATCACAATCGCGACACCGACACCGCTCAGGCTGGAGAGCCTGTGCGGGGCATCGAGGCTGCGCGACGTCGTGCGAGCCGAGATGCTGCCTTCGCCGGGGATGCTGGAATCGCTCGCGCGCCACTTCTGCGTCCTGCCCGGCACGGCGCTTCACTCCTCATCCTTCTTCTCGCTCGCCGCCGCCGCCGCCTCCTCCGCCGGCCGCTCGTCCGCACGCGGCCCCAGCACCCTGCAACTCAGGAGGAGCGCCTCTCCACCGGCGCTCCCCAGCGGCAAGAGGAAGTGCAGGGTAACGATCCCCCCCGCCAGAGGCCGTCTCGCCACGGCGGCTGGGAGATGTTGCCCACCTCGCCTGGTGTACAGGAGGCCGTGGGTTTCATTCCGACCCTGACGCCTGCTGTGTATTTGGAGTTTTTTGTGTCTTTCTCTCTCATCGTCATCAAGGTGGCTAGGAGATGTTGACCACCCTGTCTGGTGTACAGGAGGCCGTGGGTTTCATCCCGACCCTGATACCTGCTGTGTATTTGGAGTTTTGCGTGTCTTTCTCTCTCTCTCTCTCATCATCATCAAGGTGGCTAGGAGATGTTGACCACCTTGCCTAGTGTACAGGAGGCCGTGGGTTTCATCCCGACCCTGACGCCTGCTGTGTATTTGGAGTTTTGCGTGTCTCTCTCCCCGCGGTCGCTTGGATTTTTCTCCGGGTCCTCTGCTTTTTCCCTCCACAGTTAGAATCAACATCACGTGTTTCGAGTGTTTGGCTGCTATACATTTCCTCGTGATAAGCCACTACGCTGGGCTATCATTTGTGGCGAGGTCGCTTCTAAAAAAGAGCTATACAGCTCAATGGGCTTTACCTGGTAAAAAAAATAGTTTAATAATTTAGTTGAGATGCCTGGCGCTCGCTCACCAGAGTGTGTCGAAGCCACGGAGTAATCGTCGCGTGGACAGGATGACTCCCCGTTATAGGGAGCTTAGCGTCCAAGAGTCTGATGAGATCCGGACTAAGTTTGACAGGGGGGGGCCCAGAGGCTGTGTTAGTTTTGGGGCGGGGGTGGGGCACTGCTGTGTAAATCCAATTTCTTCCCTCCACTATGTTACTACCACCCACGCCCGATGCTAAACTCTCCCGTCGTTAATCACCGTTGTTATTTCGAGTCGTTAAATGCGATGCCCGAATTGTACAGCGAAATCGAAGGTAGTGGTTCTCATTAGCCAGACTGCCTGGAGGAGTGCCACAGCGTTGCATGTCAACCGTTATAAAGCAGTGCACAGGTTTTTTTGGGGGGGGGGGCGGGGGGGGGCATTACAAATCGGGGGTGTCAGGCTGCAGCCCCACAAGCCCCGTGGGTTAATCCGGATTGCGAGCGCGAGTTTCGGCACTTGCTGATCCGTGTCGGTGCTGTGATTGTGTCGATGGGTTCTGCCCGTAACCCCACAGCCCCGGCCTCGGCTGGACAACTGGAACCCAGAGTACGTTCACCGACAGCCTGAGGAGCCCGTGGACCACGTCAAGGTGAGGAGGAGGGGGAGGAGAATGTGGAGAAGGGAAAGGTGGGGGGGAAATCGGGTGCGGAGGGGGAGCAGATAATGATGTAATATGTTTAATGAGTGTCCCTTGACGACAACTTAAAATCAGATTTGAACTTGGGATCAGTGAAGTGCCATCCCAGCTCGGTCGCGATCTGAAGCCTCTCCGCACATGTGTTTCCCGCTCGCGCGTCTCTGCGATGGTCCCCGCTCGCGAGAGCGCAGGAAAACCTGGAGAGGGTGCGCGAGGCCAGCCTCGCCGTGGCTCGGTGCCGGCCCCCCGGCCGCGCCGTCTGGCTACTCCCGGGAGACGCGCCCTACTACAGCTCGCAGTCGCTCAACGGGCGACAGCTCGCGCTCTCCGCGCTCCGCGAGCACCTCAACAGGGTAGGTCGCGGGCGGCGGACTCTGTCCGTCTGCCTATCTGGTCCCTGTGATCCAGCCTCCCCTCGCGGGTTTCCCAGGCCACCGTACGCAGAGATCGCACGTTCGCGCCTCTGGTCAACGCGGCGTTAGTGAGGCGGTCGTTCGGTGGTTCGTGTTGCGCATTTGTGCGTTTTTTCGCTCTCCACGCGTATTCCCTAAAAGAAAAAACTTTGCGATCGATAAAAAAAATCCACGCTCGTCAAAGAGGAAGAGATGCACGTCCGGGAAGGGGGGGGGGCAGGGGGGGGCGGCTTCATCGTCTCCGCGTCTGCCTCCCGCACCGCCCCGTCCACCGCAGGAGGACCCGCGCGCCCGCCACTCGTACGCCCTCGCCTTCGCCTCCCTGTCGCTGGATCCCGTGGACGAGGCGGAGGCGCGGCGCGACGAGAGGCGCCGGTCCCGCGCCGCCTGGCGCACCGCCCGGGGATTCGCCGTGCCGGGCCCGTCGGACAGCCAGCGGGACAACGAGCACCCGCTCCGGCCAGACTCCGCGCGCCGGGAGGAGCTCCGCAAGGTGAGGGCCCTCCGTCTGGCCGGAGCCGGCAAACCGTCGCGGTTTGGCCCGGGAGGGGTCGCGGGTTCGGAGAGGGGTCGTCCCGATATCGTCCGAGAGGAGTTTTTAGACGTTGTCCCTCGTTTTAAACGTCACTGCCGCGGTGCGGGATGCGTAATGGTCGTCACCCTGGACTTGCAATCTGGATGTTGTTGCCGGTTGGATCTCCCGGCGCGGCGGTTGGAACAACAGACATGTTTCTTAAATTTAAATAGCGATAACTTTTTGGTTTCTGCTTATTGTTTTGGTGCCATTTCTTAATTTGTTGATTTTGCTTGGTAGTGGTAGGGTTTTTATTTGCTTGGTAGTGGCTGTATATGGGATTTGATCATCATAATATAATTAATGTACGGCATTGTGGGATGCTATTGGCATGAATTACGTTATATAAAATGAAAATATGATTATCATCTATTGCACTGGGCCTGTCAACTCGGTAAAGGTGTGATGTCATGGTTAACACTCTGGCCTTGCAACACAGAGGATTCGGTCTAGCCAAGAGTCTCAAATCGCCCCCCACCCACCGACCCCGCCTCTTGTTCACGAGTTGGGTTCACCGCAGTCGATGGACAGGTCGCGTGCGGTGGGGTAGCGTGTGGGCACTCGCACCTCCTCCAAGGCGTCTTGAAGTGTAGGCCACACTACCTCCTAGAACAGTGCTCCTCGCAAATTTCAGAGAGGGGTCACTTTCGCCGACACGACATCAATGACAGATGCGGATACCCGTCGCACAAATGTGAAATTAAAAACTCTCCAGGAGCGTGCGACTGTGGTCACCCAGGACAGACCATATAACGACGCAGTGCCCGATCCACAGTACGAAGGAGACATCGCGACGATACCACTCCACTGCTCCTGATGCGGTTATCTGGCTCGACCAACCTGAACGTGAAATTGTAGTGGTTGCTCTGCATCTACGCGAGCCGTACAAAATAAGAATGTGAGAGCCGCCGTACATTTGAAACAATTGGGGTGTGACAGCATGATGGGGTTTTTCACATTTGTGTGTTGTCGGGGGCCGCACTAAAGGCCACCAGGAGCCGGTAGTGACACCGCGGGCCTTACAATGACGAACGCTGGCCTCGAAGCGTTCTCTCGAGCGGCGGTTCCCAACCTGTCATCCGCTGACCCCTGGTGGCCTTGCGAGGCTACTACAGGGGGTCTGTGTAAAATAACAAATAATATCCTCACCAAGGAAATGTACAATTTCAAATAACTCTTAGTAATGGAGAGGCACCTTCCACCAGCAGGGAGGTGAGACACGCAATTGCAGGGCTGCACCTTTACCTTTTAGATCATTCCGGACGCGTGATGCGGGCAAAGTTGCGGGGCTGCCTGAGTGGTGGGCGGCATTTAAACATCCTTGGGAAACATTTGCTTTAAAAATATATATATTTTGAACAAAATCCACTGCTCACCAATTGCCTAACAATTCCCAATCACTCAACCAGGGGCGGTTTCTTCATTAGGGCGATTGGGCGACGCACCACCAATGTCATTCAACCAGAGTCACGCGAGCCGTCACTGTGCCTCTGGATATAGTCCAATCAGCGTCATGCTACGTTCTGTGGAGTACCGCCTCTTTTTGGGCGATTTCACTCCGGCTGAGAATCGCCCCGAGTGGCCCCATAGACTTACATTCAAAGATGTTTTTTTTCGAACGGGGGCGCTGCAATGCATTCTCTATGGCTTCCAGGAGGGCTTGCACTAACGTGCTTACGTCATCATACGTGCTAACGTCATCATACGTGCTTACGTCATCACACGTAAGCACGTTTCATCCAACAATAAAATTTATCGCCACCTAGTGGAATCTTTAATAAAATAAACTTGAGTGGTTTGTTTTAATAGTGAGTATAGAAACAAACAAGATGTATTGTAAGAGTCACTTTATTTTTCATTAATATTAAAGAAGTGAAGTTGCCTTTACATGCTTAAGCTGTTAATTTATCCATTGCATGGGTGGACCTTATCCTTATCAATCATCCAGACATTTGCCCCCCCTGAGAGATTTTGCAGGAGCCGCCACTGCACTCAACCATTCAACTACGCATTCTCGCCACAAAGCGACGCACTCGTCCCAGTGCCGGTCCATGTGTGCGTGTGCGTTGGCGAAACGTAGGGAACAGGAATCCATACTCTTTGGTTCTTTCGGTAAAGTCCCGTAGGTAGAAAAATAATAGATCACGACGTTTCGATCGCAACACAAGCAATCGTCATCAGGTGGGACAACCACAGAAAGAAAGAAAGAAACTTCTGAAACGTCATGATCTTTTATTTTTCTACCTACGTGACTTTACAACCGTGATGAGGGTTACAAACTGAGTAATCATTGGAAAGATGTGATTAACCATGCAAAAAAGATGTAACTACACTTATTTGGACCATCTTATTTGACAGACAACTATTACAGGTTATTGATAGACAGCCAGTTTGTTGTTTTACCAGTTTTAGTTTTTACTTGCTTTTCTTTTTTCACACTTTTGTTATGTATGCCATGTGTTAGTTACAAACCGCACCTCTCCATAACAAAGGCTCAGTCCTTTGTTATGCAGTCTACTCTTGGTCTTAAGCCTCACCTTATGCAGTCTACTCTTGGTCTTAAGCCTCACCTTACCATATTAATAAAAAAAGTGTGCCGTTCCTGGCCCTTCCCCCCTCAACCATTATATATACGGGGTAGTATTTCATGTGATCTCTCATTTACTTGATACAGCTGTCGTGACTGTGACGGTTCCACCTGAAGACGGAGGCTTGTGTTGCTTCCGAAACGTCGTGAATTTTTTAATTTGTTTTATTTGACTTTTATTAATTTAAATTTTTTACCTACGTGACTTTACCGAAAAAACCTAAGAGTATGAATCCTTGCAGTCACGAAAGCTTCAAATCTAGAATTAAGAACCAAAGAGTATGGATTCCTGCAGTCACGAAAAGCTTCAAATCAAGATGGAACAGGAATAGTTGAATTCTGAGATGAAATTTTTGCAAAGCACAGAAACCGATATTTCACGTCGTGATTGTCCCATTGGCCACACCACCAACTCACTCCGCTGCACTTGACGAGTCTCGTGGCATCCCGCGAAACGGGAGCATTTACGTTGTTCCTCGTCGTGCAAAGTGGCTCACGCAATGCACTGTGATCCCGGCAGCCCGAGCTCGATTGCGGCTCACGGCTAACATCGGTGACATATATCTGAACCGGTGCTGGCCTCACCTTGGCTGACCCAGCGCTAAATTAGTACCCGGTGCCGAATTTACACATCGAGATTGGGGGAGACAAAGGCGGCCGGGCATGGTGCTGCATACGCCACTCCTTCATGGGGTGCCACGGTGGCGAGATGTTAACTCCCTCGCCTGGTATACAGGAGATCGTTGGTTCGATCCAGACCCTGACGCCTGCTGTATATTTGGCGTTTACATGTCTCTCTCCTCCGTGGCCACGTGGATTTTTCTCCGGGTTCTCTGGTTATTCCCTCCACATTTAGAATCAACGTGTGTTCAGAGCATTTGGCGGCTATATAAATTTCCACGTGATAAGCCACTTCGTCGAGGACAGGCCGTTTCTCAAAAAAAATTTGCTACATAGCTCAGCGGGCCTTACCCGGTAAATACAAAAAATAGTCGATCGTTTTAATAGTTGAGGCGTCGTGCCATGCCGACCTTCGGAGGTGCTCGCTAAGAACAGCAGTAGCGTGTTTGAGACTACACGGGAGGCCTTCATCGTTTTTCCTTCTGATCGCGGGGACCAGGCGTGGACGGAGAACGTGCTGCACCGTGGCACGCTGCGCCCACCTCTCCACGGCCGCGACCGCTGGAGCTGGGAGCTGCGCCGGAGCGACTGGGAGCCGTACGGCCGCCCGCCTGCGCCCCCGCGCATCTCCGCGTCGGTCCACGCGGAGGGTACGTGCGGAGGAGGCCCGTTTGTGGAACCCGCCGGGACGGTGGCCGATCGAATCGCGCGTGCCGAGGCGTCGTCACCACGCGGGTGATCGCGGACGCCCGGAATCGGAGCGTGGCGTTCCAGGTTGATCCGCTTTGCGTGCTGAGCACAAATGCTGTCTTTTTGCCACGTACTGCCGCGGGCATCTTCAGCAGCTGCAGTGAGGGATCCCCCCCCCTGCCCAGTAAACATGCAACCCTGGGTCAACGTTGGCATGTGGTTGGAATCGTCGGACCAATGTTGGCCCGACGTTGCACGTTTACTGGGTGGGCTCCATCGCTCAAACTCCTGAAGATGGCCTAAGTAGTGTGCGATGAAACGTGGTTTGCGCCTTTTTGTTTGCTGTATTTATGGCTTTAAGATGCTCGCAGTAGCGCGTGGCGAAAGCTTGAGAGAAGAACCGCTCAAGTGGTGGCCTAACCCAGGAGAGGTACTCCTGGAATTCGTCAATGACCTGCGATCGGGGCGGGGGGAGCGTATCGGTCGCCCGCTGTTTGTCACGGGAACAGTCTCGACCCATCCTCGTGCCCCGCGTGATTACCCTAGGGCCGACCACCGCGGAGCTGATCCGGGCGTGGGAGCAGAGCGTACGCGGCCCTCTCCTCGCGATGTCGCCGGCGCCGCCCCCCATGGGCTTCCACCGCCTCCTGCCGGCGACGGAGGAGCGCCCCTCGGGGCCCCTCGCGTCCCACCAGCTGGCGCGCCTCGCCGGCCTCCTCAAGGACCCCCCGCACAAGCTCTCGCTGCGCAAGCCGGGGATGCTCTTCCAGGTGACGCCGCCTCTCGGGGGTCATGGCGATCGTCATCTAACGTCATGAGCATAGAGCGCATTCGCTCAAGGGGTTCTTCACAGAGTTTAAAAAGCGGTAACAAAGAGACACAGATTTAGATGGCAAGGGGCGTGTGAGGGCCGAGGAAAGAGTGAGACGGTAATTGGAGGGCACAAAGGGGTCACGGAAGGGCAGGGGAGGGACGGGACGGAGTGGAGGGGCGATGGGAGGGAAGATGAAGGGAATGGCGAATGGAGAAAAGGCGAGCATCGTCCTGGTGGCTACACGCACGCATGCCTTACTCCGCCACTGTGGAGGCGAGGCTTGGTGGGTCGCACACATGTGTCGCTCCCTTCCCGTGGGCGTCGAGAAGGCGCTACTCCTTGGCTTGCCAGGAGAATGCAGTTCAGAAAAAAATAAACATAACGCCATCTGTTGTATGGGATAGAGTGTTTCCCTCTTGCACACGTGGGTTTCTGCCAGTTGCGCCGTTTTCCTCCCACACCTGAGGACGGCTGCTTGCGTTGTGGCCGAAACGTCGTGAGAATTGTTTTATTATGTTTTATTTTTATTATTTTATTACTTCCCTTCTACGTGACTTTACCGAAAGAACCAAGAAGATGTAATAACACCTTACTATATTTAGGATCGCAGAGCTTGGGCAATTGTTGGTGCCGGTTCACCACACAGCTGCCTTCCCGCTTGTCTGTGGTTCCCGCTTGTCTGCGGTGGCGCAGCAGTTAGCGCAGTGCGCTATGAATCCAGTGACCCCTAGCTTTGATTCCCGGACACGCCTACAGTGACATCCGAAACGGTTCTGGACGTCGTGCCATCACCAACCCAAACGGGCTGGATTGGTGACATACGGTCAATCTCCATGACCGACGCGCGGTGGGGAGGCCTCCGTCCAGCAGTGGATTGACAAGGGAAATAGAAAGTAACGGGACGATCATCCGTGATAGATCCACTGCTGGATGAATGCCTCTGCAAGCCATCGTTATCCCTCACGGTCCTTGCAATGCTACAATCCGTCGAGCTCGTGCACGCGAGCTCATTTCGTCGTTCGATCTCCGTGGCGGCCGTGACGCTCGCGGGGTTCACTCCTTTGGCTGTCCCTCCGTCATTCGTCTTGGCCGCGACTACCGATGATCACATCGTCTCGTGTGCAGGTGATGAACGCGTCGTTGCTTCGCGTCACCTCGAGATTAGCGATGGCTTAGGGGGAGATCTTCAAGCAGCATTAGATTAAGCATGGCTGATGATTTTTTTCGTTATCAATCACTTTAGAAGTTCGTGAATAGAAAAGACGAATCATTGATTTGTATGCACGGAGTAATTTCTCGAACGTGTGATGAACCAAGTGTGTGCGACGACGATGACGACGACGATGATGATGATCGTGAGCCAACGCGACTCTCCGAAACCCCGCAGGCCATCCCCGCGCTGGCCGTGGTCCGTCACCCGAGCCTGGAGCAACTCTCCTTGACGTCGTCGGGAGGGGAGGACGAGGAGGAGGACAGGGAGGAGGCGAGCGAGGAGGAGGTGGAACGCGAGACGGGTCGCGGCTTCATGCCGGGGCCGCACGAGCATCGCGCGTGGACGCTGCCCGGGAACCATCTCGCTCGGCACAGCCACGCTCGCGGTGCCGAGCCGCGCGACCCCAACGCCTTCGCGTGAGTGGACACCACGGCACGCGCGGCAACATTCTTAGGAAGTGGCTCGCGAAATTCCACGTGTGTGCAGTACGAGCGTGGAAGACTGGAGATTAATCGACGAATCGATGCATCGTCACGCACCTGCTCGTGTGCACCCCGTTGCTAATCGTCGCCGCGGTCCTTGCATTTGCCACGCGTCTCTTGCGCACTTTTCCATTTTCGTTTCCATGTTTCTGATTTACTTCCCATCAAGGAATACTGCAGACGCCGATACGCAACACACACACACCGTGGGCTCGTTGATTTTGCGCAGATTCACAATGAGACGATCCACAATCACCCAGAAGGCAAACTTTCTCTCGGCACAACTCGGAGGCTAAGCAGCACTGAGCCTGCATCGCGCATGGACGGGCCACTCGCGACGCGTGACAGGCGTTACAAGGCTTTTGTGGGTCTGCATTGTGTGCGGCAAGGGGATACTGCAGTCAAATCAAAGTCGTGCTGCACTTCCACACTTCGGGGCCGTCCATAAATGACGTCACGCACCTAGTCAGACAGTTGTGACGATGTGTGACGAGGGGGGGTTTGAGAAATGTGACGTCACATCAAAATGCGCAACTTTAAATAAATATAGACAACACGTTCTACTTAAATAGACATTTTAATAAATGTTTTATCCTACAACATAAGAGTGCAGCGCCACATTAAATACGCACGACAATGACAATAGTTTAAAGCGATTTGAAGCATGTTTTATTTTCAAAATGGAAATATGGTTTTTGGGGGGGTGGGGGGGCAGAGCTTTGTGACGTCATATTTGAGGGGGGGGGGGGTCTGACGTTATTTATGGAGCGCAATCGCCCGTCTGCGCAGGACCCTCCTCCGCGAGCGCGCGCTGCTGCACCGTCCGCACGTCGCGCCGCTGCAGCCGGAGGAGCGCGGGGGGCCCCTGTTCGCACCGGCGCCTCCACACGCCGGGACGTCGCCACGGGCCGCCGCGCTGGAGCAGCCCGCCGAGCGGCACGGGAGCGTGGTGCGGGCGCGCACGCACCGCGACGACGCCCAGCTCTACGTGGCGTGACGGTACGCGACTGGCCCGCCCGGGGGGGTCAAACTCCCGGCGAGGATTTCCGCTTCGCTGTTTGGCGGTGGACACCCCCGTGCGCGACTGGGATGTTACTGCGCGTCGTTTTGTTACGACCGCTAGAAGTCGGGCGGAGCTGACGCTGGCCCGGGTCTGGCCAGCGTTAGCACCAGGGTCCGGGTTTGTGTTCCCACATTCGCTCGCATCAGCGGTTGCGCCAACATGTTTTGTTTTCATTTACGTAGCTCTGTGACGTCTGAATTCCGTAAAACACATCAATGCGGTAATGTCACGAGAGCAAGATGGCAAAGCGCCTGTGATTTCAACCAACGAACTCCACGTATTACTGCGGGGGTAATAACCATAGTAGCACGACGTGCCATCTGCACCACAGCGGACGTTAAAGATCCCCTGAACGTCATTTGGAAGAGTAGGCCATTGTGTGTCGAAAATTGACACCGCATATTATCCAATTGGGATCATAACATAACAATCATCACCCCCTACTGGCAGACCAATACCCCAGGTCACTCTTGCAAATGAGACGATCCTGATCTCGTGTGTTCTCACCTGGTTAAAAAAAAAATTTAATCTTAAGTGTAAGTGGCACACGTCCTGGAGCCATGTCCCGGGCTATCTGTCTAATGCGGCTTTAACAAGGTGCAGACGTACGCCACGAACGTTGATTATTGTTCAAGCGAATGTCGTTGTCGCGGGCAGGGCATTGTTCCACTACTGCTGCCAATTGTGTTTGTTTTCAATGTTGCTTTGGTGTTCTTTAAAAGAGTTAGAGAACACCAGAAACGCATCAAATACTCAAACACACAATCGTCAAGCAGTTGCCAGAACATGCCCGTTAACAAGGACACTCGCTCGAGTTTAATAACGGTGATATTCTATGCAAAACTAAATGACTCTTGTCCAAGGCTAATTGGATAACCTTTTGAACCGAGAGAAATAAAAATGATTTCAACTGAGCCGAGTGCGGCATGGAAAAAGATCGTTAAATAATGTCTTCACAGACTCAATAGAAAAGTGTACGTATAATAATAAAAACACACTATTATAACGTTACAAACCATTTCGTACAGTCACTATACCTAATTAACCATGACTAATCCCGTTTCACCACCTAATATGTCCATCATATTAATATATTTTTGTTATTGTTGTATTTTTCTGACCTGCCCCGACTGGGCATCTCTGAATTCGTATTTCTCTAGGATAAAGATTCAGATTTAACATAATTTATCAGAATCTAATATATTTTGTGAATACATTTAACCTTTAAGTATCAATTCCTGTCACTCCCTGCGAGTGTCGGTGCACGTTGATGACATCACACCCCCTATTTAAGGCCCGAAAACCAGGGGACATTTTAAAAATGTTGAAAACTGCCTGATGATGCTGGTTGTGTAACTACCAGCAAACGTGCGACTACCCAATTGTTACATGTTCCGGATTGCTCTCCAACATAACTGGTGTGCTGTTGAAATAATACATTGGCACATTTGTTCACGTGACAACTTTATAAACTATTTCAACTATTTTTTTTTTACCAGGTAAAGCTCGCTCAGCTATATAGCTTATTCAGAAGTGACCTGCCCACACATGATAGCACTTTTTAATTGGCTGTGTGAGGTGGAGGAGGGTGTATGACACATTTTACTATTGCGATGTAACCCAAAAATCAGTTTTACGTGGATAGCTTCTTAAAATCAAAACGTGAAGAGTGACGACAATGGAGATGGCGTCACAGTCACTTTGTTGTATTTCAGTTTTAGTTTAATTTACCAAGATCCTTATTCTTAAAACAACATACACTACGGGCTCACAAACAAACAAAAACAATCCCACATCACACCTTCAAATTGATTTCAAAATAACACGCCACCTTCAATCATCCAGGTTCGATATGTATACATACAGCGCTTTGAGAAATGTGAGCCTGAGGCAATATTGCTCTTAATACGGCGGTGAACATTTCAGCAGACAGGAACACTCCACGTGTGCCGGCCAACAAGTGACAGAGGGTGAAATATCAGCCGTCAAAGCGTTGCCCAGGAGCGCCCGTATCACGGGCCAGTGAGATCTCGGCCTGAGGGTCAGACGCATCCCTGCTGGACGATCCCCCTACCACGCTTGGCTCTCCAATGGTCAGCCCGAGGCAGGGAGCCTTTAACGTATTGAAGGACTTTCAAATGCCTTTTGGCAGGCCACAAATTAGTCGTCCAATATACTTTGATGACGATCAGGACTTCTTTGCATTGACTGTGCACTGAACTACAGTGTTCCCAGACAGAAAATATTCCCTCCTACTACTCGTACTACGCGCTTAGTATGGCCAAGATGCTTGCAGTTATGGATGAGTATCGTTGGCATGCCTTTTTCGAAGTTGTAGGCCTCATTTAGATGTGGGCCGTATAAAATTAACTCACGGGCCCCATTTGGCCTGTTTGGCCATAGATTCTTCACGCTCGCCCTTGGGTTAACATGCACTCCTGCTTCCAGCACAAGGCCATTTATACAGCACAACGCTTGTTAGAGGCACGTTAATGAAATGGAACGCATTCTCAAGCCCAACACCCAGAAAGTGGTTGTGCCCATCATGAGGACGTTTAGTTCAAGAGGCTCGTGCCATGAGTCCACGTTCTAGTTTCCACGGAAGATTCCACGGAACACTCAACTCGAATTTGCCGCCCCAGAAACACTTTTCTATTATATTTTTTTTTAACTCAAATTGGCAGCCAATATGGGCCGAGGCCAGAATTTTCCAGGCCATCCTTGCATCCCAGGTTGGCACGACTTTCCCTACCCCAAAGTCAGGAAATTCATCACCCAACCAACCATGTGAATCACAGCTGTTGTAGTCGGCAGGGCCGTTAAATTTCACATTTCATTTCACACTTACCAATTAACATTTAATTTTGCCAGCAACCTCATCTTGACCGTTTGACTCTCAAGTATGTCTTGGAATAACCTGATATCTCAAGTGACTCGAAAAATCACAGCTGGGGTTCTGGGGAAGATCAGGCCAGACTCGAGTTGACCCCAGCTGCATGTCTTGTGGAAACGAGGCATAGACGTTGCATTCAGGGCCCCTAGGTACGGCGGGAGTGGACGAGTGTTGCGGTGGCCCTCAGAAGGTCCGCTCCAGCGGATGCGAGCAGATGTAGCGGCGCGGAGTGAGCACCTGCTCGGCGATCTTCTTGTAGTTGGCGTCCATGTTCAATTCGGCCTCTGTAGGATTGACACCGACGATGGAAGCGATTCCACATATTGCATACTAAGCCAAAGATAAAGATCCCCCGTGTAGCCTTAACAGACTGCCGGGGCAAGTGCTGTTAGTGAGCACCTATGAAGGCCGGAACGGCACACGAGGGGGTGGGTGGCCAGCACCACGCCCGGCCGCCTTTGTCTCTCTAGTGACGATGTTTACACACCGCAACAGGTACTAATTTGAGGCTGAGTCTACCTAGGGGAGGCCCAGGACCGGTTCAGATATTCGTCACCAAGTCGAACTCGGGACGCTGGGTTCGTAGCGCAGTGCGCGAACCACTACCCTACCCCTCCCCACGTTCAACATACATACACACACACACATACGAACGGTGTTATTGGACATGGACATGGACCACCTGCCTTTGGAAAGCTGCGTGAGTAGAAAGGTGTTCTTGAAGTAGGCTTCCGTGCAGAACGTGTTGACCAGCAGCACCTGCGGGAGGGAAAAAGCAGGGTCCAGTTCTCCAGTTTTTTTAGGTTAGAGGTCGCGTAAATGTGTCGTAAGCCCACCTCCACCCGACTCGGCCAAACAGTAACGATTGTCACTTGAGCAAAACGTGCCAACGTGTTACTACTTCAGCACACCGGTGTGCTAGAGAGGTAAACCACAACATTTACAATTTCAGTTGGACGTTTTGCTAGCGATTACAACCAGCATCATCGGGTGATTGCCAAAATTGTGAAGATGCCTTCCTGTTTTTCGTCTTAAAATAGGGTAAGGTGACATTATCACTGTTCACCTGCAAGTGTGAAAGACTCGGGGGGGGAGGGGGTTAGTGTATTCATATAAATTATAATGGACTGTGTCAGTACGAAATTATAGATGCTACCGACATGGTTAGTCAGGGTTAATCAAGCATACGTGCTAAAAATGTCCAGTCTCTTGGCCAAGCTGTCACTAGTTGCTGTCTGTTGCTGGCCGCTTTGAGCTACAGGTCTCTCCAGGTCTGTGATCAGCTACTGAGACAGCGAAAATGAAGTTAGCAATGTTAACCGACTGCTCTGATGTAAGGATCTGTAGTACGTCAGTTGAATGGTGATGGCATAAAAACACTCCCCCCCCCCCCTCGTTTATAATTTGAAGTAACACAAGTTTTACAGTCACAACAACTGTTTTTGAGTATTCTTTATGCAACTGGCCACTTGGGCCTCTGTGAAACTTGCCATTAGCCATTAGTTTGCAGCTCTGAAGGAGATGCAAGATCAACCTAGGGCTCTTCGCACCCGGCACACCGCATCCAGTAGACCTCTCGCTGTGGCTATGGCTACTCGTCTCGTGCCACCTACTCCAGTCGCGCCACACCCAGTATAGTTCTCGCTACGGCCGTGGTCACGTTCCATACTCCAGCCTGCACGTTGACAGTTCGATTGCGGGACCCACCTCGTGGTCGTGGTTGCGGAGTCCTATTGAGATGGAGCGCGAGGCGCGAGATAACACCGCCGTCATTGCGTACGCGTTCATCGCCACATCCGCCACACGCTTCAGCACCATCTGCTCATCCACGATCGTCTGTGTCGTAGATACGGACGACGCGCGCGCACACATGGGACGCTCGGTAAACAATGAGCGTGCCGCTGAGATGGACGAGGCACACTCGGGACAAAGAAGAATAAAGACAATGATCCCCCGTATAGCCTTAACAGACTGTAGGGGCAAGTGCTGTTAGCGAGCACCTATGAAGCAGCCGGGTCGCTCGGAGGTCACAGCGCTAAGCTGGCACCGCCAAGATCTTGGGTTTTGTTGAACGTGGGTTTTGGCCGCACGTAATTAAATCGGTGGGTGTGAGCAAACAATTGCAGGGCCACATCTTTGACATCTTTGCAATTAATGTGAGGAGCAACATCGATCTGACGGGACGTTGCGCGTTCGTCCGATGGACGAGATTTTGACTGTGGTGGGTGTGGCGCGTGACGCGAGATCCAGGGACCGGGGGAGCGGCGATTGCTACGCCCGGTGCCAGGACTCGGGGTGGGGGTGGCGGTGGCGGGGGGGGGGGGCACGCACCTTGCCGAAGCGGAAAAGCAGCGTCTCCACGATGCAGCCGAAGCCGTACACGTTCTCCTCCAGCATCCGCGCGCTGTCCTGCCGGAGCCAAGACGACGGGCGCCGTTAACGAGAACATGGAGACAACCAAACAGATAAACGATTGCCGACCTACGGAGTCCGCGATGGAAGGCGCCCTCTTCTATATTTTTTTACGGCAACAGTGATTTGTTAAATTCTAGCAATGTATTACAGATCTTCGAATTTTTTTGGAACGCACGCGTGCAGTTTATGCCAATTATTTACAAAAAAGCCAAATGAGTATGGTGATGACGCCCAAGGTTATGCTTTGTTTATACGACCCTTCATATGTACAGCCTAGAGATTGATTTGTTTAACGATCAACCTACATGGTTGTATCTCATGATGAACACTTACGAATACCCAACCCCAAGTAATTCGCCTGCCGCCTAGCCTGACACTATAGCCCATTAACGCATCGACAGTTTCCTAAGGTAATAATTAATGGAGTAAAAAAAAGTGCTAAAATGCCACAAAGTGTATCTCTTTCAAAATTGAAAGATTAAAGAGAGAAAATTGTAAAGTTGGTCGTGGTGTAAGGCGATTGTGTGCTCATGGGAGGAGTTTCAGGTTTATCTTGCTTCACCAGGCGAGACCTCGAAGACCAGGATGATTCTCATTGGCAAGACCGACTTGGGGCATTCGCCTGTCAGCAGGGGGAAATGATTGCTGCTTCGTGTACAATCCCAATTGAGTAATGTGTGCGTCATTTTCAAGATTGTAAAATTTAGACCCTGGTGCCGGCACACGATGGCCTGATCTTGCAAACTACATCAGGGAGGTCTTTAACGTCCACTGCGGAGCAGATGGCGCGAAGTATTACTCGGATTTTTATCCCCGCAGTCATATTCGGACCGCGAACCTCTGCAACAAGCGGGGAAACGCGGGACCGCTGAGCCGCGTCACCGTGCAAGGCTGAGCGCGCGAGTGTGTGTCCTCTGTAGAGACCTGCAGGGATGGGTGGACGACCCAGTCTTTTCCTGTGAGCCCCAGGTCGACTTTCCTGGAGAACATGACCTCGAATTTGCGTTTCAGGATGCTGCCGAATGCAGACAGGTCTCCTTTCTTCATTGCCCTGGTCGTGAACGTCAACACGTGCAGTCACACACATTAAAAATACACAAAGATCCCCCCCCCCCCCCCCCCCCCCCGTATAGCCTTAACAGACTGTTGGGGCTGGTAGTGAAAACGCTGGCAGGGCACACAAGGGGGTGGTTGGCCAGCACCATGCCCGGCCGCCTTTGTCTCCCTAGTGGTTGATGTATACATGCCGCATCAGGTACTCATTTGAGGCTGGTGTTGGCTGTAAGCAGGAATCTAACTCTGGCCATTCAATTCATAGCGCAGCGCACGAATGGCTACACTACCACTCCCCACACTGCCGCAGTCACACACGCATGCACTCCACTTATCATGAAAATCGTAAAAAGCATGAAGACTGCAGAGCCAATATTTGCAAAGTACTGTTTGTCGAGAGGTGGAACAATGCATCGATTCATCAGTGACTGTACATATTTAAGCTCACGACACATTATCCTGAATGTACCAAAAGCATTTGGACGTATTGGCAGTACACCGGTGCAGCGTAACACACCGGTCCTCATAAACACCATCTAAAATCAATATTTGAACTAACATTAGTCTTCCAACTGCTTTGACATCACGAGAACTGATTTTTGATGCACCACCACTCCGAAAGATTTTCTGACCGGGGTTGCGAATTACAGGAAAATAAATAATTATTGCAAAAAAAATGCCTTTCTTTATACCACGCACGACTGGTGTACCGTCAATACGTTAATTTCCATAATTCCTAGGCTTTTGTTAATGGACTGTTAGATGAATGCCTCCCCACGTTACGTTGGTCAAATGTGGAGGTTGTTTGACCGTACTTCACAGCGTTGGGTCAGTGCGATTTGGTGAAGGGAGAGACTCGGGATTGGTTCGGATATCACTTGCCAGTGAAGTAAACCACGGCAGGAAAATTTCGTTTTAAATATTTCGTGACTGCAGGGATTCATATTCTTGGTTCTTACGTGACTTTACCAAAAGAACCAAGAACACGGCAGGGAATTTAACTCATGCGGCTGGGTTTCATAGCGCAGTACACTAACCACTGCACCACCTGCCTATTTGCACATAACTAGTATAAGTGGAGAAACTTTGATTTTAATGCATGAAAGATGAACAAATATGAAGGGGATAGTCGGAGTGGTTGTTGCGAGTTTTATTTTAAACCTGGTCTGTGGTGAGCTTGCAATGTATTCGTAACCTCATGTGAAGATGCAGTCGAAGGAAAATCTTCAAGTTAACACACAGGGAGGACATAAAGAGGACCCAGAATAGGCCATAGCCCGAAATTTGCCAAATGCGGTTGTGTACACGATAGCTGGCGATGATGCAGAGTTCAAAGTCGATTGCCGTTGCACTCAAGTTAAACGTTCACACTCACTTGACTTTGTCCGTCATGATCTTTCCCGCGTACTGAATGCCCGACAGAGCAGTGAACATCCGCAGAACTTCATTGGTGCCCTGTTGATTTGGGACAAACAAATCGTGGGTTCGTGGGTGGGTTCGTGGGTGGGTTCGTGGGTGGGTGGTGGTGGTTCAGTGCTTTGGGGTGCAGGGGGATGGTGGATCGCACAGAGGTTCGTGAAACTCCCAAAACCCGCTGGGCTCCAAATTTACCAGCAAGTGGGCTCATGAACCCATCTGTGTGGACTTTTGAGTGCTCTGCATGGGTTTTCTCCAGGTACAATTAGTTCTCAACGCAAAACACTACTGATGAACAGCATGACAAGTCATTGAGGATTTTATAGGAAAATAAATGCCATTATTGCTATACTCTCATACCCGTCAACCCATACGGTTTACCCGTATTCTTTTACAGGGAAATGTAGTTTTCAGGTCCATAAGGCATACAGTCGCTTCAATACGGGAAACAAAAAAATTATTGTCGATTTGTTTGTGTTTCTCCCTTGTGATGGGACTTTGTAGGATGAACGTTGAGATTTATGAGGGCATGGGTGACCAGTAAGGTCTAATTCGGTCTGTAATAAGGTAGGCACTGATATGGGGTTGACAGAGATGTACTCTGAATGTTTAGTACAAAGACAACGATCGCTCGGCTGGAATGGGTCATAAATTGAAGAGCCAGGGATGCAAGTGTGGTACCCATCTCGGAAAAGCTTAAAGAAAATCAATGGCGAGGCCATGTCGCTTGATGAAGAGGAAATGCACATCGGGCGGAGAGAGGTGACGATGGGTCCGGCCTACAACGAGATGGTATGGAGCACTGCGGAGTGGACGTGGAGATGATGGCCCAGGACAGAAATGAGTGGAGGAGGACGAGAAATACAGCTCCCCACCCTGACCGGTGGGGAAAATATCGGCATGAAGAAAGCAAGCAAGCACACAGTGCAGCAGCAGATCAACTAAACAGACGGAGAAATATGACCGGCGCGTCTGGCCTGACCTCAAATATGAGGAGGATGCGTGCGTCGCGCAGGTAGCGCTCGTACGGGTAGTCCTTGGTGTAGCCGAGGCCTCCCAGGATCTGCAGCGCCTCGCTCACGCACTCCCACGCGCACTCCGAGCTGAACACCTGGCGTCACAGGAGGAGACGCGCCGCGTTGTGATTTCACCGCGACCCGGACTCCGCACCCACATATTGCAAGACTGCATTATCCCTCTAAGCCAATCGCTCCGCTCTTTCCCAATACAATCCTGGATCAATTTAAAAATTGCAGTCACCGTCTTCAAAGTCCTCCAAGGGCTCGCCCTAGCCGACCTTCTCTCCTCTCATCTCACTCTACTCCCCTCCATGTGCTCTCCTACCTCTCCCCTCTCACTCCACTCCACACACTCTCCGACCTATTCCCTCTCATCTCACTCTACTCCCCTCCATGTGCTCTCCTACCTCTCCCCTCTCACTCCACACACTCTCCGACCTATTCCCTCTCATCTCACTCTACTCTCCCCTCCATGTGCTCTCCTACCTCTCCCCTCTCACTCCACTCCACACACTCTCCGATCTATTCCCTCTCATCTCACTCCACACTCCCCTCCATGTGCTCTCCTACCTCTCCCCTCTCAACTAACTCCACCCCACGCACTCTGCAACCTCCCCCTTCTCATCTCACTCTACTCCTGCTCTCCTACCTCTCGCCTCACTCCACTCCACACACTCTCTGCACCAACAAACAAGGTTGTATATGTCTATAAAAAGCCCCCAATACTTAATATTTGCCCAGTGGGAGGTCACTCGGTGTTATTTTGCCGTCCTCATAGCCTGGAGCTCCCCTCTCCAGCCCACTGTGCTGTCGACTGCCTGCCCCAGCGCGAGTGCAGGTTCAAGACTTATTGTCTCCGCACGTGACCGACAAATGAAATATGCCCACTGTTCCTGTACAGCGACTTGCGATGCGGTCACGTTAGACGCAAAATAAATCCGTGTTGTATTGTAACTCTGCATGAACGAGATTGCAAGGCATTGGCCAACATGATCGAGGCCATGATTCCTACATTCGTTTTATTTAAAGCCAAACGAGAGCCCCTTGGGAATAATACTTCAACAAAGCAATGCAGTAACGTTTATTAATTCTGTGCACAACCTGAAGATCCCGTGACGTGACTCACAAGAGTAGCCCATTGCGTGCCGGCATCATGGTCCAACTTTGCCACCTTTGAAAGATTACCCGCACATTTTAATTTGAATGTGCGTGGCAATCATCACCGCCTATTGTGGAAACTTAGCAAAACTCTCCTGAAAAAGTCATTAGACTCGGTGAGGCTTTACTGGGTGAACAATCATCATCATAATAATAATAACAACCTTGACCATGGCAGCCTCCACAGAGCAGTCCAGCTCTCCCGGCCGGTCCATCATGCCTGCCGTCAGGTACGCCATGCTCTCCATCACGTACGCCTTCACCGTCATGTTCACAAACTTCTCCTGCAAGGAAGCACGGCACGGGCAGGGCAGAGTTGAAGTTATGAAAGTTCTGGAAGGTTCAACCAGGACGCATTGTGAGTACCCTCCACTCTCTATCAGTCTGGCTACCCGAACCCTATGGCTCCTGTGGTTACCTGGTCACTTAAACCCATGCAGGCTTCTCAATTCTACGTTTTATATTTAGTGTGTTGTCCTTCCCCCACACCTCCGATTAGCGCTGTTGGTTATATAAGATGCGAAACAAGTTCAACACACAATTCTCCAATATGCGTGCACTCTCATGTTAATCTTAAGGGTAACTGAATGAACGGCTGATATGAAAACGTCTGCCGCTGAGCACTGCAATCACGGCACATGGCAGTGGCGCCCGTTCGGTCTGCAGACCAAAAGGTGGGGTTTTAAAACCCACACGAGGGAAACGCGAGTCCCAGCTGAGATACTTGATACAGTGGAGTGGCCATTCCGTTCTCACCTGAATCATCCCAAAGTCGCTCAGCCGCTTGTTGAACTGCTTCCTGGTGCACGCGTACTCCGCGCACATTGCTGATGGGGAGGAACGGGATAAGCGTCAGAGGGAAGCCCAGGCAACTATCGGAGTGACTGACCATCGGGTACCGAAAGACCATCGGATACTGACCAAACCGATGGACTAAACAGCCCTCAGACCGACCAACGACTGAGCCACCGAATGAACGACTATATCGCTGCTTCTGAGGACGGTCCACTAAAGGTTACAGCATGACTTACTTGGTTCTAACACTTAACTCTGAACACTTATTACTCCGATATGAAGCACAACTTCAGCCGAAGTTGAAATCCTGCTGTTGTCATATCTGGAGTGGAGCACCCAGTTCCTACCTGGCTGCACCTGACAGAATTCAACGTAACGTAGTCAGGATGAACGATGATCCAGCACTCGCCTGCTCACCGGTGGTCAGTCGCCTCCATACCATCCGTCTATGGCTACTGCTGCTACCGTGAACTTCACTCAACCGATTCCTCCACCCATGTTGAAGACTCTGTTTACCAGACTGTTTCATCTCATCTATAATGTCATAATCATAATAATTTAAATTTATAAAGCGCCCTTAGACAATCGTTCTCAGGGTGCTATGCATGGCAAGGCAGAAAATAGTTAACATCAACCAATGAAAGATGAAGTGAGAAAAACGTTTGAAAATGACTAAAGAGAGAAAGCCATTTTCAACAGGTACGTTTTTAGTCGAGATTTTAAGATTTGTTAAGTGTCTCGGGAGTCTTGACCTCGAAGGTTAAGGAATGTTGTGTTCAACCACCACACTTGCAGGTCACAACAATACTCTCACTCACTGCAGGTCTCAACAACACTCTCACTCACTGCAGGCCTCAACAACACTCTCACTCACTCATCGCAGGTCTCAACACTTCTCTTCTCGATTCTTCCCTTGTATTGCTCCCTTTTGAAATTCTGTCCAATGGTATCTTTTCCCCCAAGCTCTCATCATAACCTTACTCAATGCAATATACATGTTAACTCCTATATATTACAAATGTGACGGTGCTGTTTGGGATTTTGGGCCTGTGCTACCGCAAACCGTGATTAAAACGCATCACCCCTACCACCCTAAACATCTCGCATAGCTGAATAGCAACAGGTTGTCATCTATAACAAGGCTTCACCTTTATTTCCCACGGCAAGCACAGAGCAGTGAGCCGCTAACTCGGCGACCTGAGTCTCATTCCTAGCCACGGCTAGCATCAGTGGCGGGTGACATTCGAACCGGTTCGGGACTGCCAATCTAGAGCGGGACAGCGAGCGAACGAGCAAAACTTGCCTATGAGCTTCTTGAGCATTCCAGCCGAGGCACTGCCCATGCTGAAACGACCGCCGTTCAGAATCTTCATGGCGACCTGACGGCAGAGACGGGGTGGGGGAAGTTCAGATGCCTTCGCAAAAAACAAGTCCCTTACGGACAGAGCACAACACCGTTGTTGTATGATTTAAGTTCAGTTAGTTGCTGGCTTCTAGCAGTCCGATGGCTTCATTCATATTGGTTTATATTCTTGGGGGAACATTACCCTAGACACCTTTGGAATCTTTCATATCAGTAATCCCATTATCTAGCAGTCTCAAATACTTAATTTCTAACTTTATAATTACCAGCAACTGACAAAATCACAGCTAACCCAATCCTACGATGGCCATGCACATCTCCCTTGAAAAAAAAAATTCGCTCATCTTTGGAGAAAACGGTTGGTGCATTTATTTTGAAATACTTGATTTTGCTTGGACAGTAAATCTGCTGGGGATTTTTACAAAACATCCAACATGGAAGAGAACGTCAAATACTCCTCCAGAGATGCTCTCTAGCACCGTCTCTAGTGTAAGCCAGCTCTTTTGAGTCTCGCAAACACACTGGACTGCGAGGTGACCAGGAGATGGCAGTCCAGCAAACACTAGAAAAACCGTGTGTGCATTTCTCGAGTGTTTTCCCTTCAAATGCTTGGGGGGCGGGAGGGGGAGGGTTTCTCAAGGCGCTCCGCTTTCCTCCCACCAAGCCAGAATACTCATCAACAGGATTGGCCGACCACCCCAATGCACGACTCTCCAAAGAAAATTGTTCTTTACATTAAAATCATAAATTATAAATGTATGGCCCTTTGTCAGTCCAATGCTGGCTGATGGCCTCTCCAGAGTGCTAGTCGTTGACAGTTTTTGACCATACTATGTTCAGCTTCTTTTGCACCGTACGTAGTCAACCATGCTGATTATCGCAGGTTGGTAAAGGGTGGGAACATCCAGGACCGGTTCAGATATCACTCGCCACTGATGTTAGCAGCGGCCAGGAACCGAACCCAAACCCAGGTCACCGGGTTCATGACTTGCTGCGTGAACCGCTGCTCCACCGCTCCAACCTTTATTTTGCAGCTCGCAAACACCACATCAGGCTTTCCTTAACCAGAACGCGGCTACGGCGTGAACTTAAAAAAAATTCCGACCTTGAAGCCTCCGCCAACCTCCCCCAGGACGTTCTCCACCGGCACCGGCGTTCCGTCAAACGTGACCTCGCATGCTACAAGAGAGTCACACGCGCGCCGGTTCCAAGGTCACGGCAGACAGGCACCCGAGAGCCCGGCACGCAACCCGTGAGCGTGTGCAAAATCTCAGAAAGCGTTTTTGATTTGTCTGGTGGAATCATTTCTTTACGTGCACGATGCATTCTACAGGTTGTGTGTGTGAGAATTAGGTACGATTCATGCAAGTCGGACGCAGGTTTGACAATCTTGCAAACAAAACAACAGCAAAATTGGTAAATGATTCCAACGGAACTGTTACAATCTGGGTTTAATTTCTCACGGAATATTCTCAAGGTCGCTGGCAGACTGGAGGAGGCACATGACTAAGTCAACACAATCATAGCGAGTGGTATACTGGATGACGTGTGCCGGGTGTGCGGAAAATTGTCCAGGTTTCTGACGACAAGGAACAGTCCCGGTGAAAATGAAGCCCCGGTTACAATGAGTGGAGTGACTATCTATTCTTTTTATATATATATAAAATTAAAACCCTGAATTGTGACAATTCCTCTAATCGCTGGAGGCGTGGTTAATTGTTGCATGCCAACTTGTACATACGGAACCGTGCATGTACAAATCTATTATAAGCAGTACTGCAATAGCAAAAGCGCTGCCCCCCCACCCCCCCCCCCCCCCATGATAAAAGTATAAGATTTATATAATGATGAATACTATTATACAGCACGCACTGTTCGATCCGCGGATGCCCAGCTTGTCCTCGGGCTTGCCGCTGGTGATGCCCCCGAAGGCGCGCTCCACGAGGAAGGCCGTGATCTTGTCCTTCTTCTCGCCCGTCGCCGGGTCCGTCACCTCCGTGCGCGCGAACACCGTGAGCACGTCCGCGGTGCCGCCGTTGGAGATCCAGATCTGCGCCGGCACCACAAGTCCCGACGGGCACAAGTCCAACACTCACCGCGGCTCAAAAATTGAGACGTCGTCACGGCCAAAAGCCACCGCCGCACGCCACCGCACCTCACCAAACGCGGGCGACCCTTCTCTGCGCGGTTGACAAGCGGCCTCCAAGACCTCCCCCCCAAAGTCTCGCACCATCCGCTCCACAGCATTCCCCTGGTCGCTGGACTAGTGGAGACCACTCCAAGGCCTGTAGTGCTAGAGATGGGCTATCTGATTACACTTGACTTCTTGACCAATTGGATAACACGGAAATCGTTGGAAAAAAAGCCTTGCCTCCGTTCACACACGTGTTAGTCGGGCCTTGGTGAGATTGTCGGCACCATCGTGCCGTGTCGTGCCGATTTTGTGATTTATACGGGATTTCTTGTCTTTGGGAGGCAGGATGTTGGGGTTGCTTTGAAGGCAATAGTTGGTGGATCATGGTGGATAATGCCAAATTGTAAAACTCCCCTTGGCCAAGAAATCTCAGTACAGCAAGTGGGTTCGTGAATCTATCCGTGTGGTCTTGAGTTCAGTAAGGTTTATCTGGATAAATTATCACCTCCGAAAAACACGGTTGGCTACGTATGGTGCGAAAGAAGTTAAAGGTTCAACATTTGATGTACTTGGCCCAGTCACTGGTGGACATCAGCCCACTTCTATATTTGGTGGGCGGCGAGGCAGCATCTATTTAAAGTATTGCATTCCATGCCTTCAATGACACGGAGTCCTTCAACTTTATACCTGCATGAAAGCCACGATCTGTTCACTGCTAGATGGTCTCTGCATGTCGTCGCCATCCTTCGTGGTTTTGTGATGACGCAATTTGTTTCGCTCCAACATATTAGCCGATCTCATTACTCCATCTCTGCGTCTCCTCTTTCGCCTGCGATTCCATAAACAGGCTCAACCACCGGCCATAATCGCTTCTTGCAATGCGTCCTGACCAACCTGCTTCCTTTTATGCACTTTTAAATCGAAATCGAAAACTCATGTCTTTAGAAATGCTTTTTGTGTTGAATTTGTTGTCCTTCCCCCGTAGCTCCGTTTAACACGGTTACTAACGTACGGTGCGAAAAAAGTTAAACATACATACATTTCAGTGAATATGATGTCAATTTATTTTGGTTCTCAGCATAAATATCTCCATGCTCTTTTGTATAATTTTCACTATTGTTCCATTTTATTTGTTTGTGTTGATGTTTTCTAAGCACTGATTAAAAACTTCTCGCTTTCAGGGACATTGGTATGTCGTTTCTGAACATACCGATGTACCTAAAGTGCAAAGCACCCCTCCAACTTACACATACGGCCAATCGCTGCTTATGTATCTCTGCTGGAATTGCATCATCATAGCGGCTATTACATGGCAAAACAGATCGCATGGCTCTAGCACATTGTTTGGGAGCAAGTGCTCGTACCACAATATAACAAAAAAAAAGCCAACATCGCTCATCTCGACGAACGTAATGGTGCCGAGGAGGCAAGCTGTGCCAATCACTGTGGCATTTCCCAATCATCTGTTGTTGCCGTAAGAATCCTTGCATGGGTAAAACCAAACCGATTGGACACCTGTCCCGTGTAAACAAAAACAAACGGTCCCAATGTGGCCTTCAGTCTGGACGTGGCTATAAACATGATCTATACGGCGTGTCGGCTTCGGGAAAAACAGCGAGAGTGTGTGCCGACCCAACAAAAACGTTGCCTCTGATTGCTTCTGCTCAGTGTTGAATGTCAAGTTTAATGTCATTCAATCATTCTATAATGGAAATATGGCCCAAGTGGTATAAAATGGCAGCATATCAGATCCTTTTGTGGTTATCAACGGGCTTCGTGTGCCAGCTCCCACGATGTTTCTTATCGCTTTCTCAGCTGCGCTCTTGGATGCGTCTTGTGGCAAAGATAGCAGAGTATTTATTCGTACATATTCCGCTCTGCGCTGACGGAAAGTTTGTTTAATCTGCAACACTTCCGTGCTCACACGATAGTGGCAGCTCTACTCATCGGTGAGCTATTCTTTGCTGGTGGTTGAGCACCAGCTCCCTGCTCGGTGATGATGTTCAATTTCAATTTAAAGCTGTCGTGACTGCAGGGATTCATCTTCTTGGTTCTTTCGGTAAAGTCACGTAGAAGGGAAATAATAAAATAATAATAAAAAACATTCTTATTATTATTTCCCTTCTATGTGACTTTACCGAAAGAACCAAGATGTTCAATTCATCGCCGATCACTTGTGCAGCCAACCAACTTGAGGGGAGATAAATCATTGTACGTGGACATGTCCCTTTCGTCAAACCACTGCTGAGTGAGTACCTTCCAACACTCTGCATGTCCTGGGAGGGCGAGGGGGGTTATTTGACTTTGTTTTACCACGCTGGCAAGTACAGGTTGGTGATGGTGTGTAGCATAGGCGCTGGAGCATAGAGGTACAGTACAACAGTGGATTCTGCACTGCCCTCTGCTGCCCCCCCCCCCAGCCCTATGACGACCTGTTTGTGCATGGTGGTGACCCACGCAAGCACCATGGCAGGCTCAATGGTGCTTGGCTGCTTCCGAGATCTGACGCGATGTGGCCCATTCCCGGTGATTTGATCGTTGCGTGCTCACAGGCTCGCGTTGGGTACCTTGGAGCCACTGAGGAGGTAATGTTTGCCGTCTTCACTCAGCGTAGCTCTCGTCTGGATCGACGCTGCATCGCTCCCACTGCACAGGTGATACAATTGCAATAGGATTTTGGTTTTTCAAGAGGATCTAATTGCAACTGCATCTTAAGAAGACGTACAGCATGACATGTGAATCATGTAGGTGGTAGCATCATAAGTAATATACCATCTAGAGATGAGATTGAGTCATAGGCAGAAGAGAAGAAAAGTAAACGCAGACGTTTGCATAGAAACACACACGTATGAGTACTGCACTCATGAGAATATTCATCGGTCCACTCTGGGCAAGAAGGATAGTGGTCACTGAGATGCAATGCGCTTGACAAGGGTTTAGTAATAATGTAAAGCGACTGAATCTCTACAAAGCGCATCAGGGACACATGGTGAACTGAAGGCCCCTCCCCCTCATTAAACCCCGCCCACTTTTACAAACCACACGAACTCATTTGCGAGCTCTTCCCACACAGCGAGTGGCCTCCTTTCTCATATAATCCCCGCCCACTATTCAGGGTGCCATGTGCATTACCCAGGTAGTCCCCTCATCACGAGTGAAACATTTTCAAACAGGAATCCTGGTTTTTGGACACTAAGAAAGCCGTTTTCAAACAGTGACCCTCCTGGCCAAAACAACACATTTAATAACGTAGTTCAATAGCTGCACTGCCTGTGTGTGACCTCACCTGCCTGGCTCCGTGAGGCAGAAAGCGGCCGTGTGTTCTCCCGTGGCAAGCCGTGGCAGGTACTGCGCCTTCTGCTCATCGGTGCCCACAAGCAGAATTCCCTGGTGTAACACAAAATGAGGCAACGCGACACCGACATATTAGTCCACGAGAAACAAATGCCACCAAGCACACTGCGTAGTGCGCTGCTCTACAAACGCGGCACCCTTACTTTGATTCTTGAACCGCGGCTCACATGAGTGGCGAGTGATATCTTGAACCGTTCCTGGGCCCCCGCCACCATCACCAACCCACACTGACCAGCATGGCAAATTTTCGTCCCGTTACCCCCATGACCTGCGCAGCTTGGGGGAGGACCCTTGTTGACCAGCGAATTGACATAAGGGTTGTTGCATGTGCATTGTGTTGACGGGATGCAGCTCCATGACGTTCGTGAACGGGTGAGCCGCTGTTACCTTGAGGCCGATGGCCTGGTGTGCGGCGAGTGTGACGGCGATGGAACCGTCGAGTGAGGTGATCTCAACCAGCCGCGCGTACATGGTGTTCGAGAGGCCCAGGCCGCCTGGCAACCACACGACACAAAAAACACTTTTAAGCCAGCGGTGTGGAACCCTATCGTTACTGAGGGCCGAACAGGACTCTCAAATACCTTTGGTGGGCAACCACACACGAAGACACACCTCCGTTGTGTCACGGCAAGAGGCCCTCACAGTGACAGATGTGACTTGGCACACTAAAATTTTAAATTAAAATTCTAACCAAGTTGAAAATATCACATTCCAGATTGATGCTTGCATTGACAGACATCGTTTTTACAGTATAAACAAAGTTTGCTAATGATTGTAATCAAAGCAGGTGCTGATTTCTTACCAAATTCCGTGGGGATCTGTTGGCCAAAGAGGCCGAGCTCCTTGAGTCCTCGCAGGGTCTCCTCTGGGATGCGCGCCTCTGCGTCTATTCGCTTTGAGTCCACTGGCAACAGCAACGCATTCAGACACACATTCAAACGGTACTCAATAGCACCGCACTACAACACAACAAATATACAACAGGTAGATTTTTTAGGCAATGGCCTTTCTTCAGAGTGGCAGTTTAAGTGATTAAACAGTTGGAGCATTGGCATCGCGATGGAGTGTGCAGGTATTCATCTTTTTGGTTCTTTCGGTAAAGTCAGTTAGAAGGGAAGTAATAAAATAATAAAAATAAAACATAATAAAATAAAATAATAATATAATATATATTATAAAATAAAATAATAATATAATATATATTATTTTATTATGTTTTATTTTTATTATTTTATTACTTCCCTTCTACGTGACTTTACCGAAAGAACCAAGAAGATGAATCCCTGCAGTCACGAAAGCTTTAAATCGAAAAGAGTGTGCAGGTGTCGGGGTATTGTAGCTGACAGGTAATGAACGAGGAGTCCCATTCTCATGCCAACCATGTATCCCACCGAGTTCGGAGGTCACAATTTAAACTGGGGATCGTTATTAAGGAGGGCCTCGCAGGGTTTTTCTTTGTTCCCCCCTCTTCCACTCCCCCCCCATCCCTGGCTTTCCCTAAGTTTTATTGGTTATTTCGACCCCCCACACCCTTCCCGTTTTCCCTCTCCATTTAAATGTCCCCAAACGCGAATGGACTGCTGCAGATCTTCTGTACCCCGTTGCGGGAATTTTTCGGTGTGTTGTAAAAAAATAAAAGGAGGGTTTTGCAGAGTCTCAAAACTTTCACAGAAGGATCCTGCTACACTGGGATGTTTGACCAAGCCCATTGAGGAATGGCCCCTTGTGGGAGAAAGCCAGGCCACGTGGAGCCTCTTGTTGCTAAAGCGGCACTGACAAGAGCTGAGATTGTGGGTCACTGGCACCTTGCTCGTCAAAGAACCTCTCCACGGGCCCCACGAGCATGTTCAGCTCTTCCAGCTCCTCGTTGCTGATCTCTGGGAATGGAAACACCTCCTGCAAACATCATCACATCGCCATCAACATCACCACGACGATCAACACTGTATTTTAAAATCTCTCTGTATTTGTCCGTGGTTTGGGGTCAGTGTCTCTGCATGTGTATCTCTCTATGCGACTTTACATCCAATACCCTCTCTATATATACAACTATGTATACAGTATAAGCACGTTTTTGCATTTCCCTTGAGTCTGTGTCTTTCTCTCTCTATGTGACTGTCTCCAAAACTCTGTGTCTGCGCGTATTTCTGTCTTCATAAACACGCTCCAGTGTATCGGTGTCTCTCTGTTCCCCGATATCAGCGCCTGACTCCGTGATTCCCTGCACGTCTCTGCACAACTCTCCATGTTATCCTCTTACCCAATATATTAATGCCCCATCACAAATAACTCCCACTACAGTTATTTTGCTGTGCATTTTTACACCTGATGAAGGAAGCTTGTGTTGCCTCCCAACCGTCGTGATTTAATTCATTTATTTGCATTTTTTATTTATTTATTACCTACGTGGCTTTACCGAAAACAACCTAAGAGTATGAATCTCCGTGTCATCTCTACGTCCTTGTGTCTCCGTGCCTCGGTCTCAGGGTTCCCCTCGTTCCCCGTGTGCACATGGGCCGCACTTAGACCGGGAAGCCCACCACCCCACCACCCTCCTCTGTTCCCCAAGCAATCCCGAACCGCTTCGTACCTTGTTGATCTTCCCCATGAACAAGTCTCTGGCGAAGGCACAAGAACGGGTGGTCGTCCCGAACATCCTGTGCCCGCTCTCCGCGCCCATCCTCCCGCACGCCGCCGCTGTCTCGGCCCCGCCGCGGCCTCCGTGCCACGGGCCCCGTGGACACGGGGCGAGGCGGGTCCGGGAGACCGGGCGACGAACGAGCCCCAGAGACGACGAGCAGAGCCGCCTGCCCAGCATCTTGCCTGCTGATACTGCTGCTGATGATGATGGCTGAACTGCTCCAGATGATGGCTGAACTGCTGATACTGCTGCTGATGATGATGGCTGAACTGCTGATACTGCTGCTGTTGCTGCTGCTGATGATGTAACTGTTATTTGTGCTGCTACCGCTAACAATGATGACAATATACGGCGCCGATTCTGCAAATGACGATGATCCGACACTCGTGCTGAAGGTCCACGTCTCCGCGGGGTGACCCAGTGACCCACTCGTTGCTTCGGCCCGATCGGCTCGGGGCTTCTCACCTCCCTCCCCTCCCCAGCTTTCCTGCCCGCCCCTTCCTTTTTCTCTCTGACGACCCCCCAGCAAGTGTGTGACACGATGGGCAGGACAGGGTGACACAGCGCGTCTGACCGTGGTGGCTGCACGTGTCCCACTGACCTCTGACCCCCCCCACCACCGGTGCCGTGACCTCTGACCCAGCGACGCCGCGCACACTGATGAGGTGGCCGCGTTGCTAGGCCGACTTTTGCCGCTTAGATGTTGAATTTTTTTTAATTTAATCGGTCAACGATCGGACGCGATTCGGTGTCTGTCGATGATAGACGCGACGAGAGTAAAATGTGTCTTAAGTTTTAACAAAAAATATTGTCGTGCCTGACTTTTTTTTTGAATAAATAAGAACTCACATCGCGCGCGGTGTGTGCTTATGAGTTGTCACTGCTGCGTTAATAATATTAAATGTAAGCGTATAACGTTGTTACGTTGTTATGCATCGTTTTTTTTTGTATATTTGTTATCGGTAATTAGTGCAGGCAGTGCGCCGAGGGCAGCCCCGCGCGACGCGTGGGTGAGGAAGGACCCCGGGGAGGAGCTGCGTCGGTTCCTCTGTTCCGGCATCAGCTGTGAGCCAACTCATTCACAGGTGACCCAGCTCATTCACCATCACTCACTCATTCACCATCACTCACTCATTCACAGGTGACCCAGCTCATTCACCATCACTCACTCATTCACAGGTGAGCCAACTCATTCACAGGTGACCCAGCTCATTCACCATCACTCACTCATTCACCATCACTCACTCATTCACCATCACGCATTCATCATCACTCATTCACAGGTAATTCATTCACCGTCACTCATTCACCATCACTCATTCACAGGTGAGCCAACTCATTCACAGGTGACCCAGCTCATTCACCATCACTCACTCATTCACCATCACTCACTCATTCACCATCACGCATTCATCATCACTCATTCACAGGTAATTCATTCACCGTCACTCATTCACCATCACTCATTCACAGGTGAGCCAACTCATTCACAGGTGACCCAGCTCATTCACCATCACTCACTCATTCACCATCACTCACTCATTCACAGGTGACCCAGCTCATTCACCATCACTCACTCATTCACAGGTGAGCCAACTCATTCACAGGTGACCCAGCTCATTCACCATCACTCACTCATTCACCATCACTCACTCATTCACCATCACTCAATCATCATCACTCATTCACAGGTAATTCATTCACCGTCACTCATTCACCATCACTCATTCACAGGTGAGCCAACTCATTCACAGGTGACCCAGCTCATTCACCATCACTCACTCATTCACCATCACTCACTCATTCACCATCACTCAATCATCATCACTCATTCACAGGTAATTCATTCACCGTCACTCATTCACCATCACTCATTCACAGGTGAGCCAACTCATTCACAGGTGACCCAGCTCATTCACCATCACTCACTCATTCACCATCACTCACTCATTCACAGGTGACCCAGCTCATTCACCATCACTCACTCATTCACAGGTGAGCCAACTCATTCACAGGTGACCCAGCTCATTCACCATCACTCACTCATTCACCATCACTCACTCATTCACCATCACGCATTCATCATCACTCATTCACAGGTAATTCATTCACCGTCACTCATTCACCATCACTCATTCACAGGTGAGCCAACTCATTCACAGGTGACCCAGCTCATTCACCATCACTCACTCATTCACCATCACTCACTCATTCACCATCACGCATTCATCATCACTCATTCACAGGTAATTCATTCACCGTCACTCATTCACCATCACTCATTCACAGGTGAGCCAACTCATTCACAGGTGACCCAGCTCATTCACCATCACTCACTCATTCACCATCACTCACTCATTCACAGGTGACCCAGCTCATTCACCATCACTCACTCATTCACAGGTGAGCCAACTCATTCACAGGTGACCCAGCTCATTCACCATCACTCACTCATTCACCATCACTCACTCATTCACCATCACTCAATCATCATCACTCATTCACAGGTAATTCATTCACCGTCACTCATTCACCATCACTCATTCACAGGTGAGCCAACTCATTCACAGGTGACCCAGCTCATTCACCATCACTCACTCATTCACCATCACTCACTCATTCACAGGTGACCCAGCTCATTCACCATCACTCACTCATTCACAGGTGAGCCAACTCATTCACAGGTGACCCAGCTCATTCACCATCACTCACTCATTCACCATCACTCACTCATTCACCATCACTCATTCATTCACCATCACTCATTCATCATCACTCATTCACAGGTAATTCATTCACCGTCACTCATTCACCATCACTCATTCACAGGTGAGCCAACTCATTCACAGGTGACCCAGCTCATTCACCATCACTCACTCATTCACCATCACTCATTCATCATCACTCATTCACAGGTGATTCATTCACCATCACTCATTCACCATCACTCATTCACAGGTGACCCAGCTCATTCACCATCACTCACTCATTCACCATCACTCACTCATTCACCATCACTCACTCATTCACCATCACTCATTCATCATCACTCATTCACAGGTGATTCATTCACCATCACTCATTCACCATCACTCAGTCACCATCACTCATTCACAGGTGATCAACTCATTCACCATCACTCATTCACCATCACTCATTCACAGGTGACTCATTCACCATCACTCATTCACCATCACTCATTCACAGGTGATCCAGCTCATTCACCATCACTCATTCACCATCACTCATTCACAGGTGATCCAGCTCATTCACAGGTGATCCAACTCATTCACCATCACTCATTCACAGGTGACTCATTCACCATCACTAATTCACAGGTGACTCATTCACAGGTGAGCCAACTCATTCACCATCACTCATTCACCATCACTCATTCACCATCACTCATTCACCATCACTCATTCACCATCACTCATTCACAGGTGACCCAACTCATTCAGGTTCACTCATTCCCACTCACTCATTCACGCTAACTCATTCCCATTACATTGGACCTAGCTGATTCGTTTACCCCATTCACTCTCACTCGTGTCATTCACGTGGGACCTGTGTCATTCATATACTGTATCCATTATCATTAATGTACTGTATAGTTAATTTACATGGGATCCAGTTAACGCATTTACTGCATTCACTCTCACTGATTGACTCACTCGTTCATATAGGATATAGTTCACTCATTCATATGGGCTCTACGTAAAGTATTTACTGCAATCATTCTCCACGATGTGCTCATTCTTTCACATGGTGTCTAGTTCATTAACTGCATTAAGTATCGTTGACATAGTGATTCACATGGGATAAAGCTCGTTCGTTAACCGTATTATTGATGTACTCATTGCCATGGGATCTATGTAATTCCTTCACAAGCGACTTAAACTCATCACACATGGGATCCACTCAATCTATTCGCACGGGATATTCATTCCCAAATGGGTCAAGCAGTCAGCAACAAACAGCACGATCAAAGTTGTAACTGATGAGTGTTAACTCGTTCCTTGAAACAACCAAGGTTATAAGAGCCGGGGGTGGGGTGGTGGGGGAGGATTGTAAAGTTGAGGAGTGGGGAGGGACTGGTCACCCCGTGGTGCCCTTATAAAACTCAACGTTTAACCTACTCACGCCGGCTTGTGCCCGCCCTCACAGTCGGCCATATTTGCGGAATACACCACGCCGCTGTTGACCCTGGCCATTGACGAGCAACCCAACGCTCCTACCAGCTCCCTCCGCAGGAATGTGTTTTGACCTGCTGTGTGGTGGTTGAACACAATGTATGAGACAAAGCAGCCTGGTCGTTCGGCATGCTCAACATTTGTGGAGGAATCATCAGGTAAAGTTCACGGGAACAATAACCATGGCGGTAGGGATAGATGAGTGATAACAAGGCGACGACGTGCTGCTCAGTTGCTAACGGGATTGAATTTGCGAGTGTTGGATAATTATGGGCTAATTTCGCTTGAATTTGGTCGTTGTGGAAGCAGCAGGGTTTTGTGAAGGAAACGGATATACTGAGTCTCGCTGAATTAGCCCAGTATTTTGAGGACACCGTACCATGCGACCACATGTACATCACTGCAAATGTGTCTCCACTGACCAGGTCATCCAAGGGAGTTTTGTTTGTTTTACCCAGGGAAGATGAAGGACATGAATAAGGAGGTGAAGGAGGTGCGGGAGGCACTGGACGAGGTGACGCTGGCCACTTTTGATGACCTGGAGAACCTGAACTCTACACGGGCGCGGCTCCATGACCTCGTCCAGCAGGTGACCACGTCATCAACGTCATCGTTTAGTTTTACAGAGCCTTAGTTAAAAGCCCATTTAGATCTATAAATCCCCATGAGGATTGTCAAAGCAGCGTTGTGCCAAGAATAATTTTAAAAACATGCAATTATGTAGCAGCAAATAAACACAGACATTCCCCGAGGCACTCAATGTTGTATTCATCTCACATAGTGGAAGGGTTTAATTGTTAACAAACCCAATGTAATCTTTCAAGGTATTGCAGCATTGGTGAAGGGCTGTCTTGCTTTGAGACGTCTCCTGGAGTGTTATCCCACAACCGTCTCCCGTTTGCTCCTTCGCTCTCTGGCTGCTTCCTGATCCATAACAATGTCCGGCTTCTAAACAACTTTAATCATCATCATCATCATCATTTACGACTTCATGTTGCACCTCACACAAACATGAAACAAGTTCCACCTTGTCACCGAGGGTTTTGTGTGCGGCTTTTGGTGACCAGACAGAGACCGTCCGCTCACTCCACTCGAGAACCTCGTTGAATCACAGGTGGCTGGATCTGAACCCAGGATCTCAGCAGCGCCGGCTCAACGCTCTTGCCCTTTTAGCCACCCGGTCGCCTAATTTTTACCCAAATTCAAGATCAACGGCTGGGATATGGCATAGGCTGCATTGCTCCGGCCTCCTTCAACATCTGCCTGGTGCTTTATGTTCGGCCCCTTAAGTGCATCGGGTACAACTTTCTTCTGACAGCCGTTTGAGAATAATCCATCAAACTTCTGTTTTAACAGCTCCGTTTCAAACCATTTGTGCTGCTTTTGCCAACACGATTGATTCCGAACTGGTTTCACTCACACATGTGAGTTGATGATCAATGTCTTATTCCTGCACAAGCAGTTACCTGTCTACCATGAGGCTCAGCCCTCAGGTCTAGCAATTTCCAACATTCAGTCAACTGTGATGAGTTACTTTTGCTTGGCATCCGGCACCCAGTTGCTTTAACTTATTAATATAAAGATTTGTAAAAACTAACAATTTAATTAGAGATAACATATTCTTGGTTCTTTTGGTAAAGTCACATAGAATGTAAATAATAAAATAATACTGATATAAAACAATAAAAATGCTCACGACGTTTCGACTGCAACACAAGCAATCATCATCAGGTGTGAAATCCACAGAAAGAAAAAAAATTCACATTTTTTTCAAATTTCCTTTTATTATTTCCCTTCTACGTGACTTTACCGAAAGAACCAAGAATATGAATTCCTGCAGTCACGAAAGCTTTAAATCTAGAGATAACATGTTTTCATCATCGTTGATGCATTGATATCGCTCCCACTGCGAACGGTGCCACATATGGCAGTTGTAAGCACACCTTAACATTTAATTTGATACTGCATTCCTAAGGCATGCATATCCAGCATTGCTAACTTTGCCAGTGGTTTATTGTCACGTAGTCGCTTGGCATACCCTCTGACACAAGATCCTACTCTACTATATCTTGAAATTCGTTGTGTGTGCAACCACCATCAGTTTTATCGCAGAAGTTACACCGAGTGTAATCAGGCAACAGTGGGATGACATGGTTGGCATGGTTCCTCTTGCAGTGAATTCATCTGGGGGGGAGGGGGAGCCCCCACTGTCCAATTTCTCCGCCTCTTCGTAGCCTGGCACCTGGGCCCCTCTGTAGCCTGTGGGATCCCAACTCGTTTGCTACGCCACCTTTGGCAGCACACGAGTTTAAGTGCCCAGATCGGATCTTGTTTTCTTTGGGCTTTGCTCCAACGCCTTCGCACATGATATTTTTTTTATACAAATACGTTGCATAAACACAACATCAGACAGCTCACATCAGACACCAACAGCAGCTCGCAACACTAGATAATTGAGAAAATGAGCAGCTACATTCAGTTACGAAATAAGCTCCCTTCACGTGGAGCGAAAAGTTGGACAGCATGGCTAACAACACACGGTACGACCCAAAAACACATCGGATGGCTTTTCTATGTTCCTGGAAGTTTCTGTTTTGTAACTTTGCGGTAGCACGACTTCGTGGGACATTAATGTCGCTGTAATACCGAGGCAGCAGGGGGCAGCACAGCAATATCCACTGTTGCCTGTGCATCAACGTCCATGCTTCCCACCTAAATGAACACACACTGCCTACCGTGGTGATGTATGGTCAGGTAACCCATACGGACTTAGGAGACCCTCATCCAGCAGTGGGTTTACAAAGCTGTGCATGTACAAAAGCACGTTATCCTAACTGGCTGTGTGTGTGGCTATAAGGAGGGTCTCCGTGGGCATGGGAGTGTTTTCCAGCAGTGTAAATCTTCCCGTTGTGCTTGTTTAGTTGTGCCAATGGTGTCAACTGTGAGTGCCACCCTTTGTCGCCCCCGTCAGGGTTGGCTGTCTCTCTCCAAGGCTCGCTACTCCATGGGCAGCCGAGCCGTCTCGACTCTGCAGTACCCGCATCACATCACGCCCCAAGCCCATGTTCACACAAGGTCAGCTCACAAGCGAGTAACTCCCCAGACTTTTTTTTTAATTAAACAAATTGTTTGGTGTATGCTGCTGCATTCGTAGTGCTGCACAAGCACAAATGAAATAAATAAAAACTCCACACGTCCATACACACGTTTAGAGTTATTGGCTGCTATATATTTCCACGTGATAAACCACTTTGTTGAGCTATCATTTGTGGCCTGATCGCTTCTTAAAAAGAGCTATATAGCTCAGTGGGGCTTCATAATAAAAATGGTTTAGTTTAGTTTTTAGTTTCAACAACACCATGTGTAACCTTGAAAGGTAAAATATATAATCAGAAATGTTTTTGGGCAATGGCTCTTTCATAGCGGATCGATTGGCCAGAGAGTTTAAGTGGATAATAAGCACTGGAAACTGTACTTTACAGCATGAGGCCTGATATGAATACAATTTTTAAATGTTTTAAGATGAACCGTTTTGAGTTTGGCATACAAATATGACCTCTTAGTATATACGGAGTAACAGATAACCCCTTCACTAATCAAAAGCATAACTAAAACTAATTTGGATTAAAAGAAAAATGATCGAATGTTGCTGGCAAATGTAATTATGGGTGGGCCTGTTGTTATTAGCATAATCTATTTAGGGTTGTGCTCCTGGACCCCAGCCCGAGGTGACCAGCTGGCCCAGAGGTCAGAGCACTGAGCTGGTACCACCGAGATCCTGGGATTAATCCCTGGTTTCAGCCATCCGTGGTGAAACTGGGTTCTCAAGTGTTGAGTTAATGGTCGTGACCTATTGAGGTTTTTTTTGGGTTACATCGCGTAAATATATAATTGTGTCATTGAAACCCGCCACCACCTGACACAGCCAACTAGTAAGGGTTGTCATGCAAACAGAACGTGCCAATTCGTCACTAGTACAGCACACCGGTGTGTTGGAGAGCCAAGCCACAACATTTAAAATCTGAGAACGATGTTTCGCCAGTAATTAAAACCAGCTTCATCAGGCGACAGCCAGATTTGTGCAGAAGTCCACCTGTTTCGTTCCTCTTGTAGAGGCATAGATGTGGTGATCACGCTTCTGCGCTTTTGCGCCACGTGGGGGGGGGGGATTACTGAGGCAACGTACATTATGCATTATGCGAGCCCTTTGAACTTGTCCTTCCTGTCTATTGTGTGTGTAGTGGGTTCTACAGAGGCACACACTTAAACTTAGAGGCAACACATTGATTCTCACACCCCAACAGGGTAACTACATAAAGGTACACTGTTTAACTCCACCACAACGGGGTAACTACATTACCGGGTCAGTCAGTAACACATTGCCTGACCCACGATGCCGAGCATAAAGACCGAGGACCGAAGCTCGAAGAGACGTAGCACCGACGGGTTCCATTCCAACAGACGGCAGCGATTGCTCTCGGGACCTCGGCTTTATGCTGCCGAGCGTGGCCTGGCACCGCCCTCGGCCACGCCCCCTTCTGGATCTCACCAGAAGGTTCTCGGCCACTCATAACGTGTCCCTCAAGCCACCCTTTGGGCCCCCTCGCTACCCTGTCCCGGTCACGTGCTCTCTCGGGTTCACCCAGACTGTCACGTCCTCACTTTCCCTCCCTCTGACTGTCACCAGAACCATGCCCCCTATGGCCCACTCCTATGCCATAGCTACTCTGGTGCCAGAGATGGCTCAAGACCCACAGTTCCACTCTTGTGACAGTAGCTGGCGCTGAACGCCATAGTGACTCAATTTACTACATGTGTATTAAAATAGCCGTACCAACGGTAATCCCTATTGAAGTGCGCTGCCCTTTGTAGGCATGCATTTAAATAATGTATTATTTTATTATTCCCTTCCACGCAGCTATCCGAACGGTTCAAGTTATTTTTATTTCTTTTAATTTCGATAGATTATCTAATTAGTCTTGGCCAGTAGTAGTTAAATTTTGATTTAAAGCTTTCGTGACTGCAGGGATTCATATTTTTTGTTCTTTCGGTAAAGTCACGTTGAAGGGAAATAATAAAATAATACAAACATAAAACAATTAAAATTCTCTAATTTTCTTGCTGTGGATTTCACACCTGATGATGATTGATTGTGTTGCAGTCGAAACGTCGTGAAAATTTTTTATTGTTTTATGTTTGTATTATTTTATTATTTCCCTTCTACGTGACTTTACCGAAAGAACCAAGAATACAGTAGTAGCTAGTTTTGCACATTTATATATCTATGCGATCTAACCCAAAACATCTCTTATGGATGATATTGGTCACGAAAGCCTACGTGTTCAACTCACCTATTAACTGTTCATTTACACAGAAAGCCGATGAGACTTACAACGGAACCCATAGACTTTTACAGATAGACATAGAGGCCTATAGACTCACATAGAGACTAATAAACTCGCTTAGGCCGAGTTGTGATACAACTACAATTTCATATGTAGAGAGTTGATGGTGTCTGCACAAAACAATCACAGCATTAGGTTTGGTTTGACACTAAATTTGGCTGAATTTCACCGCTTGGAATATTTAAAAAAATATCTCCGTTTGATTGTCATGTGACGAACAACATTACTCTTGATGGCAGAGTGGGCGGCGAAAGTGCTGTCCCCTACTATGTGGATCAGAGGTCGCTTGGTAGAATCTCCAAAGTTGCTGTGTGATATTCGTTTCCATTCGATGATCTCTTACACAAAGGGTTGCACGCGGAGCCGGAGGTTTTGAGGGGCCTAAGGCTAAGAGGAGGGTACATATTACAATTGGCTAGGTAAATTCATCAAACATAAATCACTCACTACACTAATTGCTTCACACAAACAAAACGTGTTTTCCTAGCATCAGTTGTGGTGAAGTCATGAATGATGTCATCGTAATTCAGCTACCGCCGCTCAGCTATTACTTCAATATAGAATGGAGGCCTTAAAAGAGGGCCTGAAAATATTAGGATCTGAGGCTTTAATGGCTTATGAGTTCGTCTGGCCTTCATTACGCTGCTCTGCTTAAGATGGTAATTAATTTGTTTTTTTTTCTCGTAATGTGATGTCGATTGCACAGTCTGGATAACATTGGGAAAAGAGAGAAAGACGTTAAGACAAGTTTTGCCTGGAGACCAGCATAAGAATCATAATGGGAGACTGATTTTGATTGAGCCGTTTGGAGCAGTTTGACGTTATTTCCATTCCCATGTTTCCTTACAATGAAGCACTGAAAACATTTCTTTAAACTTTATGTGTGCTTTGTAATTCCAAGGACGTGCGTGTTTGGGTTCTGTCGGATGTGTGTCGCCAGGCATCGGATTGTATCAGGAAAATTGCCATGGGATTGCTAAAGACCAGTCTTAATTTAAACCGACTTATCCTGTTTCCTGGCAGCAGTCACCCATTGTTTGGAGGGATTGGCCACTAACTGCCCTTCCCCTGTCCTAATGATACCCCTGAAAGCAACTGCTCTGAAAACAAACATTGCCTGACCGGTGGTCTGTTTGTCTTTTTTTTCTGTCTTTTTCCTCAGTTGTATCCCAATTGTGATATCGGGGTCACGTCATGAGACAAAGCAAATATTCCATTCTCTCTCCGAGCGGTGCAGCCCTTCATGTTTAGCGAACGTCCAGCAGGAGTGAATACAAGAGAGCTGATCTACAGTGTGGTCCACATGTATTGTGACCCCAAATTAATTTACCCCTAACATTTTTTTTGTTACTTTGCACGTTCATTTCTGTTTTAAATACACCTGCAGAAGCCAAATATTTTTTTTCTAAACTGGGGGGGGGGGGGGGGGGGCGGTTTGTTGTGACCTTATTGGTGACAGGTTTAATCAAAGGTTGAGCCAGGATAGGGATTCTATGGGCAATCGCCATGCGTAAAACAGGTGGTGGTAGGCTGCTACGAGGCTAGGTTGTCAGCAGAGGGGCGTTTCAACAAAATTTGTTGTTGTACTGCACTACGTTCCAACATCTATGCTCACCATCTTCACCAATCCAGCACTCACCAGCATGATGAAGTCCAATTCAATAACTCCCGCACGACCCGTTTGGCATTGTGGAGGTTGTCATCCAGCAGCGGATAGACAAAAGGGCTGTACACAACATTGCTTCGTGTGAAATAAATATTGGTGTATTCCATGGGGCACATCTTTGCGTGTCTCTTCTAGTCACACATGGATCTGTGTGTATTTGTACTCTGTACCCAAAGTCTTTTTAGGTACAGTACAAAGAGGCTTTGTGGTTATTTCTGGAGATCCAGTTTGTCAGCTTTTCAGAATCAATGGGTTGGCTCCTATTCTTTAGTGTCATTATTTAATCGGGTACAACAGTTGCAGGCAATACAATGACATTGCATTGTTCGTGTTACTGTATGTGGTGTACATGGACATGTACAGCATGATTGTCAATCCACTGCTGCATGAGGACCTCTACGCATGTAATTGCGAGTGCACACTAAACGGTTGCCATCTTGACAAAACGGACACACCATTTCCTTGGTGATTTGTACCAATGTCCATAATGGAGACGTGGAATAATTCTAGATTTGAAGCTTTCGTGACTGCAAGGATTTATACTCTGAGGTTTTTTCGGTAAAGTCAATAGGTAAAAAATAATAATAATAAATGAAAATAAATCAATTAAATCACGACGTTTCGGAGGCAACACAAGTCTCCGGCTTCAGGTGGGACCGTCACAGCTAAATTTACTGTATCAAGTGGAAAAAACCTAAGAGTATGAGACATGGAATAATTTATCTTGAAATCTGAATCGCAGACTGGTATCTGGCCCACTGTTTTAGCATCAGCTGATCACATAATCACAAACTGTATAATCTAGATTTGAAGTATACATATATACATACTGTATATATGTTGTACATACTGTATATATGTATACATGTCTACAGCCCTGTTGTCAATTCCGTTCTGGGTGAGAGCCTTCCCATGCCATGCGTGTCATAGGGGTTATATGACCATACTTCACCACGCTGGTCAGTGCGGGTTGGTGAAGGTCTGGCGAGTACAGAACAAAGGCAGCCGACCATGGCACTGGCTGCAACACACGCCACCCCGGCGTGTGGCGTGCTCGCCTTAATAGATGCTCGCAAGCAGCACTTGCCTCAACAGTCTTTAAAAGGCTATACAGGGGGGCCTAAATGTCAGACAAATTCATTTCTTTTAATACTGGAATTAAAACATTTTCATGATTTGTTCTTTAAGTTTATATTGTATCCTCATTATTAAATTCTAAATGTCTTCTTCCTGTGGGATCACCTCAAAACTTTCGTTTACAAAACTCCACCAAGAACCCTGAATGAATTGAGCCAAAACATAATCGATGGATGTTCAAAGATTACACCGTGTAATCTTTAAAAAAAAAGTCCTCAATTCATTTCAAAAGAGTATTAATGTTAACGGAAGTCCGTTTGAACATTTGTGAAAATAAAACAAATAACCCAATGGAATGTGTTCCAATAAATACAATAACCCTGTGTGTACACTATGGGAACCTCATTTGCCAGTAAAAATATGATAATTGGTTCTTTACCCTTCTATCTGGCAACAAAACTGACACCTTTTTACAAGGAGTCATGTTTGCATAGACCGCAATACCTGCAGTCATAATACAAACAAAAGAACATAACTCTGATAATGTGCACTGTCCTTGAAGTTGATTGGTCCACACCCGAGACAGCTTTCCTTAGAGCCTAGTCTCATATGGGTTGGACCAGATGACGCCTTTAGGCTCTAAGGAAAGCTGTCTCGGGTGTGGACCAATCAACTTCAAGGACAGTGCACATTATCAGAGTTATGTTCTTTTGTTTGCATTATGACTGCAGGTATTGCGGTCTATGCAAACATGACTCCTTGTAAAAAGGTGTCAGTTTTGTTGCCAGATAGAAGGGTAAAGAACCAATTATCAACCCTGTGTGTCCTGACTTTTGGGCCACCCTGTACATACTGTGCGGGCGCTCGTTGTCTCGGCGTAGTGAGACAGAAGGAGACGGATTTCAGTTCCTCGCGGAGCTCACGAGGGCCCAGACGACAGCGCCAAGTGAGCACCAGCAGCAACAAGTGGAGGAGCTTGGAGCAGCTGAGAGCCCTGGTAGACGCCTGCCCACCAGCACCACCACCATGAACACCACCACCATGAACACCACCACCAGCACTAGCATTGGCACCATCAACAACAACAACCGCCATTCGCCGCTAAGTGGCGGTGACGTCACCACGGCGCTTGTGCCTGGCCATGTGCACGTTCAGGCCACGTGAAGTGTCGAACGCCCGCTGGCAGGAGGCCACGGGACAGACTCGGGTGCCACGGGTTGACTGACTCAGATGTCTGGCCGATGCACCACCTTTGCCCCCTACTGTACCAGCATCAGCACCACCGTTAACACCAACACCACCACCGTTAACACCAACACCACCACCATGAATACCGCTGCCACGAGCATCACCACCAACAGCAGCACCAGCAGCACCAGCAGCATTGCCACCAGCAACAACAACCGCCATTCGCCACTAAGTGGCGGTGACGTCACCACAACGCTTGTGCCAGGCCACCAGCACCACCGTTAAAACCCACACCACCATTACCACCACCATTACCACCACCATTAATAACACCTCCACTACCACCACCACGAGCACCGCCATTAATAGCATCACTAACACAAGCACCGCCAGAAACGGCACCACCACTGCCAGCATCAGCACCACGATTAACACCAACACCACCACTCTTCAGCGGCCATGTCTATTGAAGTCGAGGTGTGTCTGTCTCATTGTTTAGAACTGCGTAGAAGGAAGGCACCGCCCAGCAACGGTGTCAAAGAGGAGCCATCAATTCGCGACAAATGCCCCAGCGAAGACAAGCAGGCGGGTTTGGAGAGCAGCGACCCACTGCGCTGGTTCGGCATCCTGGTGCCACAGAACCTACGGCAAGCCCAGGGGAGCTTCCGAGAAGGTACGGCAGCAGATTCATTCAGCAGTGATGTATCGCAAATGTATGGTCTAGCCTCATCCTCTTAAGTGAGAGTTGTTGTCCATGACCGATGATTTCCATCTTTGCTGATGTTCATCGTTTCTCATGGTGAGTTCCATGCAGCTGCTCACACTCAGAATCATCTTTAGTATTTATTCTGGAGAAATCCGATGCTGGATCTTGGGACTCTGAGAGATGGCGACAGCTTAGGGGAGGCCTTCATCCAGCGGCTGATGGATTGTCTGATGACGAGTCTTGTGTGTGCTGTGCGTTACACTGTGTTTGCGTGCGGGTGTGTGTTGTGCGGAAGTGTAGCGGTTAGCGCGCTGCACTATGAACCCGATGACCCGAGTTCGATTTCCGCTCATGGCCAACTCAACCTCAAATGAGTACCTGGTGCGGTGTCTAAAACATTGCCACTGACAAAGGCAGCCGAGCGGGGTGCTGGCCACCCACCCCCTCATGTGCCGTGCCGACCTTCATAGATGCTCGCTATCAGCACTTGCCCAAACAGTTTGTTAAGGCTTCACGGGGCATCTTTGTCTTTGTGCGGACACACAGCAGTGTTGCTGGCGGGCGAGGTGGCCACGCTGCAGGCGCGCGTGGAGGAGCGGCGGGTGCGCCACCGAGCCCTGCTGGAGAAGAAAACCGCCCTCCTGGCGAATGACGGGGAAACACGGGGCGAGGAGAGAGGGGAGCTGCTTGCTGAGCAGTAGTAGCTCGTCTGGGGGGGGCCGGGGGACGGGTAGTATCGCCACGGCGAAGCCCTTTCGTTTATGCCAGTTGGGTCCCTCCAACATTGGCAGACACGGGGTGACAGCCTCCTTTGAAACCCTGAGGGTTATGTTCCTGAAAATAATCTCGGTTACCGTATGTACCAGAGAAAATATATTCATTGTGGTTTTTATTTATGGTAGGCACGATGTCAAAATGTTGGGACCACTCCCCTCCCCTTGGGAAATTCCTCCTTCCACCTCTGAAATATCTTAAATTGTTGAGTGAACTTGTGTGACTTTTGTTTTCTTCGTATTTATCTGGGTTATTCTATCAGTTGCTGTTATTAATGTCCATTGGTCGTTATAATTAATGACGCTCGTAAAAAAATCTGATGACACCAATGTCATGTGAACTAAAAGAGCGTGAGCTCACCGTGTTGTAACTTTTAGGTAACGTTAAAAGGGGCTGCATAAACAGTGGGTACAAAGACGGTGAGTTATTGTCACGATGCTAATCTCCGGCGGATAGTAAGACGAATTCTGAAACTTTATTGCATCTGAAATCAATTTGTGACGTCGCTAAATAAAAGTAACGCCTGATTAAAACCTGGAACGCCATTTCTCAAGTCACCCGTGCTGCCGACTTCCTGCCCCGTGCTCCAAGTCCAGGTTCAAGACCCTCATTTTTCCCACTGCCTATGACTGCCTTTATCAAAAATCAAGTTTGCTCACGGTTTCTCTACAGTGTCTTTAGACACGGTCACATTTAGACTCTGTTGTAAACAAATTGTATTGTAAATGGTTATTATTGTAAACAAAAAGTTGTTTCCCAGGCTCCTGGAACTGGGCTTAAATGAACAAATCTTGAAAGAAGGTGTCTTTGTGTTTTCTCGGTGTAATAATCTCTCCGTCGAATTAAAAATGTAAATCCGGTTAGCCCTTAAGCCTAAACAAAGGCTGCGGTCTTCAGTTGCAATTAATTCAAGGCACCACACCAAGCCAAGCCAAACTTGTCAAGGCTGTAAACAGTTTGCCCCCCTCCCCCCTGTCATTTCAATGCCGTAATTCACAAGCGTAGGCCTCTGTGTGCCGGCATCAGGGTCAAACTCAAAAATTCCATCACAAACTGCCCCGTTGGGATAATACATAGCAATCACCCCACCCCCACCAATACTGGTAGGCCAGGTACTGCCCTCCCAGTGCTGCACAGGGACAGCTGACAACTTGGGGGGGGGGTTCCCTTTTCAAATGTTGAGATGGGATGTGAATGTAAAGCACTCTGACGCTCTGGCGGATAGTAAGACGCTATATCAACCACAAATCATCATACTATACAGGCAGTCCCTAACTTACAAACGCCCGTCCTATGAACATCCGCACTTAGAAATGAGCTTCCATAAAATATATTTAACCATTCGACTTGCGAACGTGAACTCGCACTTATGAACCGAACCGCTGAACTATTTGGTTCTGCAAATGAACAACATTAATTATGAGTTTAACATTGCTTCCATTTTTTGTTGAACCGTAACACATTGTGTTTCCACTTAGGAACCATTTGACTTAGGAACGTATCGAAGGAACGGAACTCGTTCGTAAGTCAGGGACTGCCCGTACTTACTATTCTTGTATACTGTGGTATACATGCGCTAGCTTACAACGTATACTCATTTGCGTCTTTAGAGCAGATGTTACATAATACTAACAACTAAGTGCCTCGTCAAACCACTGCTCGATGAAATCCTCTCCAAGCCCTTTGGTCATAGGGTGGTTGTTTAACCATTCCTCACTCTTGCCGGTCAGTGTGGGCTGATGAAGGGTAGTGGCAGAACAAGTTCAGATACCGCACATCAACGGTGTTAGCCGTGACTGGTGATCAAGCGCGGTTCGCCAAGTTCATACTCCATCGCGCAATGCACTAAACGCGCAACAACGACTAACCAGAGTATAACGTGAGGATAGTTATTCCTGTGACGATTCATTGACTTATGGATTAAATTGATGTTTTGCACTCACAATACAGCAACTCTTGTGTATTATCACACTTCCGATTAGCATGGTTGGCTACGTACGGTGCGAAAGAAGTTCAACATACATAATCGATTCTTTACTATTGACATTTGCAAATGTACGTTTAGGGTAACGTAGCCAGCGAGACAGAACAAAATAACATGCAAAATGAGACCATACAAATGATAAAGGATTTTATTCTTGATTAGTGACCACAAATCATGACATTTGAGTTGCACCAGCCTACTGGTAATTAACTACGTTTTATTGTCTCTCACGGCTGACTCTGACACGTTGCAATATGAAGGAATAATAACTTTCAGCTCTTTATAAATCCACTACTGGACGAAGGCAAACCCCACACCATGTCGAACGAGGGCCTTCCCACGCCGTGTTGATTATTGGGGCACATTTTACCATACTTCACCATTCTGGTCAGTGGGTGTGAGTGATTAGGGAGGTGACCAAGGTAACGTGCAGATATTGACCGCTACCGGGAATTGAACTCGGATCTTCGGTTTCTTCACGCAGTGCACAAACTGACCTAGATACTATGGGATGGAGTCCATGGGCAGACCGAGATGAAGTAAAAGCTGCAATGGAAATGCATGGCTGTTAGCCACCGAGGGTCAGTTTTGAGGAAGCCGTACACGCACATGGAAGTGCCTCGTTTTAAGCCACCGCTCTCTAGTTCTGGTTATTGATCTTGAAGGGCAACATCATGCCAGATAGTGGAACTTTAATGTTTATCATTTTCATACTCTTTGGGTCTTTCGGTAAAGTCACGTAGATAGAAAAATAATAATAAAAAATCACGACGTTTCGATCGCAACACCAGCAATCGTCTTCAGGACTGCTGAGGCAGGTTTTGTTTCACCTGAAGACGATTGCTTGTGTTGCGATCGTAACGTCGTGATTTTTATTATTATTTTATTATTTTTCTGTCTACGTGACTTTACCGAAAGACCCAAAGAGTATGAATGCCTGCGGTCACAAAAGCTTGAAGTCAAGATTGATCATTTTCTTTTGTTAACATTCCAGCGCCACTGATATTTTTCCAGATATATTTTTTTTCAGGGCTGCCTGAAACGCAATGGGGAAGCATGTATGTGCACGAACAACAACTTTTCCGCAGGTAAAGAAAGTTTTAAAAAACGAAAATGTCTCCTGATAACAGTATAGACATATACAGACCTTCGTGGTGTCGTGAGCCCAATGGCATCGTGGATAGCACTCGACTTGTCCTTGATTCAAGGTCTTGTGTCTCGCGATCCTGCCATGCCTGATAAAGCCCTCTGCCAAGTCAAGGTGACTGACATACAGGACCTTCACACTGCTAATCGCAGTACGCCAAGGATGCGTGCAATGTTTGTCACTGTTTTGTTCGCAAAAAGGACAGCCAATAATGCTAAAGTGCAACTTATCGCAGGCTTGCGAATTCTTTTAAAGCGGGTTTTATTTTATGATTCGTTATCATATTTTACCCGCTAAAACAAAGTATGGAATGTGTAAATATGTTGGCGGTTGTGCAAAGAATATATGAAAGAGGTAAATATATGTATACAAACATATTTTGCAAGCAAGATAAGCAATACATGCACGGAGGTTATATTTTGCAGTCCAGTATTTCGTCGTCACGGAATACTCGGTACAGGATAGTTGCTGTGGTTCTTGTGCTGGAATAAATGTGAATTTGTGCAGAAATTCGAAATCACTTTTTGCTTAAAGAAGAATGCGAAGGAGGGAGTGGTGGCGCAGAAGTAATCGGATTGTCTTTGAACACAACGACCTAAGTTCGCGATTGATATCTAAACCAGTTTTGCTCCCCCCCCCCCCCCCCCGTTCACTAACCTGCATTGACCACCCTGGTGTAGTTATGATCAAACAACATCTAAATACCATCATCGCATGGTGAGGCATTTACAGCCAAGTCCTGTAAATCATTATTGTTAACCGAGGAAAAAAAGCCAACATTTCAACTGACAGATTCCTTAGCAATAATTGTAGTGTGTTTATGTTTGTGAAGGATGTTTATAATTTCCCAGTAAGCGACACATGTGCTGTTTGCACAGCATGCAATTGTAAATCCCAAACATCCACGTAATTATACTGCACGTCAAATAAGACAAACATTAGCCATACTGACTGCTGTGGCAAGTGCTGTTAGCGAGCACCTGTGAAGGTCGGCACGGCACACGAGTGTGTTGTGTTTCCAGCACCCCGCCCGATCGCCTTTGTCTCCCCAGTGTTGTTTACACTGCACTCATTGAAGACTAAGCAAACCTTGGCATCACCCAGGACTGGGTGAAATATCACCATCCACTAATCTTAGCCATGGCCAGGATTCAAACTCAGGTCACTGGGTTTATAACAATGTGCACTCCCCACTACCCCGTGTGTACATGCGTAGCTCTACCAGTTTTTTTAAGGTTTCAGAAGTGGAGTGTGTATTTTTAGCTTGTGAAAGGTTACACTCAAGGGCCGAAACGCAATGCTTAGCAAGTCATTGTTAGACAGGATACTGACGTCAGGCTAACACCTAAAGTACTTTTCAGAATGAAATGCTGAATGCAATGTATTGTCAGTGGCTTATTTTGCCAGGCAGTGGTGGCGCCACGCCTGTAAATCAATACGGTGGAGGTGAGGGTTGGTACGCTGCAAGGGAGGTTCATCATTGTCCATACTTCACACAAATATTGTGCAACTCCCTCCATTCCCGTCGGTGTCACCATACCCTGACTTGCCGGCAGAGGGCGGTACAGCGAAATGTCGACTCCACCTTTTCCGTCCGTATGGTACGCGTGGGTTTTCTCCAGGTGCTCCGGTTTCTTGCCACGTGGAAGCACTCGTTAGTTGGCCGATAGCACATTGATATGTAGAGGACCGCAGAGCTTGGGCAAATGTTGGCGCCTGCTCACTGCCTGGCTGCTACTGCCTATGTTGTGGTTTGGCTCTCCAACACACCGGTGTGCTGTACTCGTGACGAATTGGCATGTTCTGTTTACGTGACAACCCTTACTAGTTGGCTGTGTTTCGGGTGGTTGGCGGGTTTTAACGACACATTTATATATTTACGCGATTAAACCCCCAAAACAAACCTGTATTATGTATGCCTTCCCACTTGTCCGTGGTTCCTCGCGTGTTTGAGTGTCTCTCTTCGAGAATGCATGAATAACACTGGTCAATAAAAAAAACTTTTTTTCTGGCCTGGACTTTTGCAGCTGTTTTAGACTAATTTCAGGGTGCTGATTCCAAATCTGATCTCAGATTTGCTCTATCACATCTCATTTTATGCTATCGGCATACCCCATTTTCATTGATTTTACCCGAAATTAACTTTGTCACTTATGGTTGCGAGTCAGTGACTGCTTTAGTGTTAAAATATGGTGCTGTATTTTTAGGATAGTGTGTTTATAATATCATTTTATGTAGATATCCACATTTATTTAATATTTTTCTTCTGCAGTTTTTATTGAAAATGGAATATTTGATATCTCAGAAACCTGATGTGATAGACAAAAACTGATGCCAGATTTGGAATCAGCACCCCAAAATTACCTTAACACCGTTGGAATACCTTATGCCAGAAAAAGTGCATTGACCAGTGTAATCTTGATTTGAAGTTTTCGTGACTGCAGGGATCCATACTCTTTGGTTCTTTCGGTAAAGTCACGTAGGTATAAAATAAGCATCCCTTTTGCCCACTTCAGCAATTGTTTCTTGCTGTGGCTGTCCCACCTGATGACGGACGCCTGTGTTGCGCCCGAAACGTCGTGATTTAATTTATTTTATTTTATACCTACGTGACTTTACCGAAAGAACCAAAGAGAATTAATGAATACTTTGCGGTGGTGCATTACAAGTTGAACGTTGCTCTTAATCATCGTTTCATTTTCATTTGAAAGCTGTTTTGCTTACCCGCTTTACAATCCTGTTACGTGGCATGTGACCTGTGCATGAAGCAATGCAGGAATGTTTGATGCAAGAATTAGGGTGGAGCGGATGAGCAACCGGTAGTTCTGCAACGCTCGTAAAAAAATTTTGACTGCCAAGGTTTTAATAAGGAAGTAGGACATAGCACAGATGGGGCATTTCCCTCTGTAAACAGGTTTCAAAATCCCTTCGAAGAAAATTCGTGGCGTGTCAATGCAAACTTCTTACTTCGTGACTCATTGGCGCGTTGCGCATGGACCTGGAGCGTC